TAAGACAGTTGAATTAAGCTAGGAAGAACCATACCGTAGACCAACTATTCCTTTCCTTAGAATGTCGCACTTTTGAGTCGGTAGGCGGAAAGACATAGGCAGTTTCCAGCACCAGTTGCAAGTTTTTTCTCTGCTGTACGGTGTCAGAGAATACCTCTCCTTCAATCACCTCCGTTGCAGCATGCTCATTCATGTAGTCTGAGAATATAGCTGCCTCTGCACAGTTCTCGTACAATCAACTCTCATGCATCACGAAATTGCGAAGTGTTATCAAGGGCTGGATTTTGGAAATCAAAAGAATCCTCAGACACAGCTTTCCACAACCCGTTAAACTAAAGCATGTGTTAAAGTTATTGGTGATCCGACTGCGTTCCCACTAATCTTTTTCCTTTTCTCCATCCTCCTCTGTCCGCCATTTGCGCTTCTCTTGTATATGCTTGAGTGAACAACATCTTGTCTCTCCTTCCATTTATCTTGTCTTCACTTTTCTGCTTCGTCGCACAAGTGGGTTGTAATGCTGAGTTTAAAGTAGAAGTTGGCGGAACAAGTAGTTATTTGTATCCTTTTACCCATTACTGCCACCACTTGTGTCACCACGGCAAGTGGGCAAGTCCTCATTACACTAATCGTGACAACTACATCTGTGGTTTGATAACCTATCGCCTACAAGATGTGCAAAAGTTAGGAATCCCAATTCCACCACACGCTGCTTTCTTTGCCTTTGCACCTCTACTCTCTCCGACCAAATCCCATATGCCACTTTCGTAGTCACCCTCGAAACCGATACCAATGGTAAGAGCGCAATTATTTTTCTGTTTCGCGAAGGAACAATATGCAAACAACGGAACCTCATCCCGCTGATCGAGTGATTAAATAGAACCACGATTCTGCAGTAGATCTGTCCGTTCCGTCCCCTTCTGCAATCTAAACACCACGCATCCAATCAGACGTTGCCAATTTAGCAAAACAAGGCAAGCACCGCTTTAAAGTGCGTAGACACACGTAGTCAAGTTAAAAGTGTTAAATGTCTGCAAGTCCTACATCCCACGTAGGTCGACAACTTCACGAAGTTTTCGTCTTTTGAGTGGAAAAGGCATTCCGTCAGCATTAGTGGTGGTGTAGCACACAAACGCCGCTTTTCTCTCATCTACATACATACCCACACACATACTTCCATGTCTGCACACAGCTTTCCGTACCTTCACAACGTCGATTCTCCTGGCGATGCCACGACTTCTCGCACCAGCATCGAGACTCCTCCTTCATTGCTCAGCTGTGGGTGCATGAGCGGGCTACGATGGTGCCCGCAGCTAATTGGCGTGCGCCTGCACATGCATCTGGTCACCCACCCTTCCCACTCCAAACCACTTCACATGCGTCTCTCAACCTAATGAAATGCGTTGACGCTCATGATGAAAAACCTCGGTGCAACAGTGGGACAGAGAAACACTAACTGTGACAGCGGTCCTGCCTTGAGATCGTACCAACGAGCGCATTTTCGACTGATCCTATGTCTTTTCCAATATCTGCTAAAAAACAACGCCATGAAACACAATATTTTTATTTTTACAATAGATCAAACACCAAGTAGGGATGTTGCAAAAACAGGACACTTTCGCTCCCCATCGCTATCATCGTCCAAAGGTGAAGAACTTTTGGCAAATTGGACAAAAAACGTTATTGCATCCTGTGTATTTCTGAAAGCAAAAAGTACTGTTTCACTGCCTTACAATTGGGGGTAGGCAAAGTGGAGTGGGAGAAAAGCGAGGCATGCTCAGCAAATGGATTTGATTATAGTAATAATAAGTAGCTGAATGGCAGAAAATCGACTTTAAGTTTCAAGTTTCATGCATAAACCGAATGCAATTCCAAAAATTGTTTAACCAGCAGTAGTAGACACATCATAGTTCTGCCGATCTCAGCACGTTTGAATAGAAGCTATGCGTAGCATTCACTAACATTTATTTAAAGCTGTCCTCGAGATCCAAATTTTCAAATCGAAATGCATTTTCAATGGTTTTGCCATGTATTTATTACAAAAGCCCATTCTTTGGAGGTTTTAGCTGCCTTTTTGAACGATCTTAAAACTCCCAATTTAGGAAAAAAGTCAACAGCAAGCGACCAGTCATATTCTGAGTCAAAAACGCGCCAAACACGTACAGATGTAATGATGCGCTCAATGATCAGACAAAATTAGAGCCAACTTATAGATTACTAAGGGGTAAGAAACAACTCACTTGGACAAACAGGCCACAATTTGGACAACGGTGAAGATTCATTTCCTTGAACTTGCGAGACACCATAGCTTCTGCTACTAAACTTGTCCGGGCACTAAAAATCCTACTGATTAGTTCCCGACGCTCCCCAGGATCGATTGTGTGGCTCAGCTTCCAAGTCATCCACGCAACATCCTCTACATGGCGAAAGGAGAGGTCAAATTACCTTAATTTCAACGGTCCTAGAGGTAGCCATCCACAAATAACGAATAAAAGTCGAGACCGATAATAATTGTGATTAACTGCTCTGGAGTGGGCAATTAGAAAGTTATTTTGCAACCTTAAAATAATGGTTTTAAAGTAATCAACAACACCACATCCCACAGACGGAATGATAATAACAAGTACAGGAACCGTTTGCATTGCTATTGTACATTTGCTTCACTAATAAATGGTACCTTTCCATTTAAAGGTTGGAGTTTGAACATTACTTGTAAGATACGACCTGACTTTTCATTTGCTATAGAAGTATCCAAAAAAAGTTTCACTAAAATATGAATGAATAGCACTATTGATAGTTGCATCCACTTAATAAACAATAAGCAATTGTGTTTGAATAGCGAAGGATGAGGCCATCCGGTGGCTAACATTTGCATGATGCAAGCAATTCAAACACCTGTTTTAAAGTTGAATTAAAGTCTTCAGTAACAATCTCCACAACAGCCTTATTTAACAAAAACTTCAATAAGGCTCAAGCAACAAGTGAAGCCTATGGCTCCGCTTATCCTCATCTTATTTCCATAATGCCTATTTGGTGAGTAGAAAGGAGAGAAGCTAATAAACATCAGTTGGAGGAGTAGTGAGTAAAGCATTCCTATTCAACTTAGGCTAGTACTTAAGGAAATGCGTGCATCAGTACAGCTAGCCAGTCTTAATACCTTAAATGTAAGATGGGGAGAAAACAGGGAATACGTTAGCAAAATGTAATTTTAGCTTTGTCTGAGGCCCACATGCACGAGGTAGAAAATCTCCACTCCGATGAGCAGCCCCTCCTTTGACTGATGCTCGCCTTACCTTCTATTTGAAGCCGTACCTGACTTTAACATGCAAATTAGAAAATAAGTAGAGAGACATATGTATAGGATGAAAGGTTAATCAGGATAAATAAAGCAGAGCCTGATTTTTCATCCCCAGCAGGAATAGTGAACCTTCTTCAGACTTAGCACCCACTTTAGGCTGATCAGTTATGCTGATCAAAAAGCTGGAAAATTTCAAGATTACAACCAGCACCATCTTACAATATACCTCTAAATGCTGTATTCATTTAATAAATGGTTTGCCCTTTTGGAATCTAGTGAGAATTTAATTAAAATAGTAAAGTGGATGGCTTCGGAATAAATCTACCTTGCTCGACTAACATATACCGAAGCAAGTTCCAAGCCTTTGCCAAATAACTCAAAATTGTAATGAAGACTACTAATCCAAGTGACTGACCGATATTTGATCTTTATGACGTGTATGCGTATAAAGAACACATGCATTTGGAAGGTCTCTTACTTTACAATATGGTAGTTGAAATGAGATAATGCTACCCATGACAGTAGAAGACCAAATGGATGCAGGAAGCTATACACCTCAGAGACCTATCAGTAGCAAGAAGCGCATGTTACCTGACGGAAGCAGGACCTCCTCATCTTCGTATCGAACGAATGCTGCCTTTTCCCCCTCTTCTTCTGCCTCTCCTTCCGCCTTTCCTTCCTCCGGTTTCAAATCCACAGTATCTTCCACCTCGGGCTCGATAGGAGAAGATACACAAGGTCTACTGGGATGATAAAGGCGCAAACATCGCGGACAGAAGACATGTTGACAATAAGGACAGCGGGCCAGATTATCGTCCTCCGAAAGACATGTTCTCGAACAGCCAGGGCGGGGACATTGTACTACGTCACTCATAAAAGCGAGACTGCGCTGTAGCAGCAGCCTATCGTAGGCCGCAAACTGGGAGGGCGTAGCAAACTCTTTCACCTAAAAATTAGACAGATGACGAAGTAGATGAGATTGTCGACGAATCCTAAATCAAGCTAACGGTGGACATTCTACAAGTTTTCATAGGATCAGTGAGATCGTAGCCGATTTTTTACACTTTGAATGATACCAGCATGGCTTATTACGTCAAACAAAAAGTGATAGCAATTGTAATAGCTTCTAACAGAAGAGTGATCGTTGCATCAGCTTTGGAATTTATTAGGTAAACTGTGGAGGGCTCATAAGGTGCAACTTCAATCACTAACTAGTCTTGATCTGATTGCAAGACGAAACATCCTATTTAGTTCCTCTATCCCTGAAGCATCGTTGCAAAGTACCAGCCGTTCGTGATAAGTGAGAACAAGAGGCGAGTTTTGCATCAAAAACATAGTGAAATGCCGACGACGCCACCGTCAATCCAATGCACAAAATGCAGCCTCTCAAGGTCACCACTTAACTTGAGCCCAAATACATGTGCACATTCAGCTCATCAGTCAAAAGCAATGGAAACGCAACTAAATAAAACTTGTTTAAAGGACTAGTCCGCTTTAACACGCCAATCCATAGTATGTCAAAAGTGCTGAACCGAATCCCGACAATGCTTAATAAGATCCATAAAGTATAATAAAAGAAATTATGTTCACATACAACCGAAATTATCTTACAAATCGTAGTTATATAAAACATATTGTCACCTGAGAACTTGCAAATTTACTAAGGTGAAAACCTGAAATGGTGTGGTGAAATAATAATTGCAGGCTAAAATTATGCTGAAAAATGTTATCCTCAGTGCAGCCAACCACATTTCGTAATTGAAACTAAGTTACACAAATAAATTGTAACGCAGAAGTATTCTTGAAAGGCCAGCAATGATAAGAATAACGCAACCAACAAAATGCCCTCCTGAGTCATGCGAAAATAGATTTCGTCTACCAGATGACCCAAAAGTCATTGAAAAAAGGGATACACCTTAGAAATAAGTTCAAAACAACCGACATCAGGAAACCGAAAAATGCAACATAACATGGACGTAAAAATCACAATCAGTATTATCCAAGGAATGCATTTAATTCGGTGACAAACAGTGCCAATCAGGTGAGATGAATGAACGCCAATTAAAACTTACCACCATTGTTGGGACATATTATATTTTAACACCACAAAAGGGAAAATGATGGGAATAGAATTTGTTTAATTACCTCAAACAACTCCATTATTGCATTGCAATGCAGACATCGCAGTACACCAGCAGTTACACCATTCGCTATATGCGCTGACAGCGCATTTCTCAGACAATCCTTACAAGCAATGTGACCGCATATAGTCAACCGAGTGCACTCCCGACCCATCTTCTCGTCATCCCCACAGATCACACACCCCACTTTATCCTCATCAAACTGCTTCCGTCTTCTCACGCTGTCGTACTCAACCATCTGCTCTAGAGCCTGCTCTCGTAGATGACGTGAGGAAATAGCCTCCTCCATGTCGTAGACGTAGGTTCCACTTTCGTCCTTCTCTACACCGAGAAGCATTGGGACGAGGTTGGATTCCAGAAACTCAAAACACTCCCACAAACATGGCTCCCCACTCACTCTGTTGGATAGGTACGCATTCAACTGCTCAACGATGGAGAGGAGACGGTCAGGTGCAATGTAGTAGCAGTCGAGCGCAAGAAGTGGGAGGGCATCAACTGGGTAGGTTGGGGGCAGGGTGAAACTAACCATAATTGGAGGAATGTGTTCAATGGAGAAGATCTTGCATAAGACATTGTTGTAGCGGAGGAACTGTGGCTGTAGGAAAGGAGAGAGTTTCTTGGTCTGTGAGTAGGCGTTAATACGGACGTGGAGAGAGACAGAGTCGTGTGGTAGTTTAGGGTGAGCTCTGTACCATCCACTCACTATGGTGGTTTCGGGATGTCGGTCAAAATGAAAGTTTTCTGGTTCGTATAGCATGGTGAGTGTTGCCAGTTCTTCATCTTGTGCCTCTACCTCGTGAGACATTGCACTGCGTTGTGTTGGCTCTGTGGTGCGTGTGGTAGGCGGTGTGGTTGGAGGAGCCAATGAGAGCGAAGGAGCATTTCCATTGGTTGCTTGTCTCGATTGGCGAGATGCGCCAATCTGTAGGTCATTACTGCAAGCAAGCTATAGAATTGTTCCGTGACTGTTCATTCCTCATCACGATCTTGGATTGTTCGCTGATGTTCCCAGTGTTTACAATACTGGAGGATAACACACCCCAAACTTACCAAGCAATTCTAGATATGCACCGGTTTTGGTACCTAGCTTTCAACCCTACCTCCAGTCCTTTAAGGGACAGAATCGGATTTGAAATGCATGTTCCTCAACCTAAAATAGGAATGAAACTCGATAATGACAACAGAAGCGCCTTTATGGTTGTCCACACGACTCCTTGCCTCGCTAATTTTTTCACCATCCTTCTTAAAGTTCTCAGCAGTGTATATAGGAACCAGAGAAACTCCTTTTGAGGCCTTAGTACCTATGGAGTCCTGCTCAGATCTTCGCACAGCTAACGCAAAGAAACGTCTGGTTGATAAGTTCTCACTTTGTACCACGCAGTGTGGACAAATTTGAGTGCTATACTATTCTCCTGATGGCCTCCGACACAAACCACCACAAATATTTTGCTCAATGAGTGAAACCCTGCAAATGAATATTCCTCAGTAAAAAATGTACGCCAATAAACACTGCAGTAGAAGGGAGCCAGAAGTAGAAGGGAACTCTCATTTCGGAATCGTAGGAAGTGGAAGTAGAGCATAGGCCGCAATGCAGTCCATAATCCATGTAGCAGGCACCAGTATAATGGGTCGAAAATCGATAACAGAGGTGGGGAGGGAGGATTGCATTCGCGGCTGCAGCATTCGTAGCGCTGCGCCCACTAACTCCTCTGGTCGACCGACAATTGTCACTGCTGCAACTGCTGCTGCCGCCTCGTCAGCCGGACTGGTGTTAGGTAACAATCCCGAAGTACGCGGATCGTAGAGTGCGATTAACTGGTGTGGATGCACTGTGGTAGCCTCATAGGCGTTACCGATAGTGTTCGTAGTCGCTGGCAATGACTTCGGCCCTGGCTCCGATTCTTGAGCACTTTCACCCTGCTGCACCATCCATAGCTCGGCGATGGCTGGGTCGTCCACCGCGATGTAGGCCAGACGAGAGGGTGAGGTGACATCGCGGGAGAAGATGGTTGCACCGCCGCTTGTCAAAAGATTGCAGAGGTCAACTCGGTCCGGTGTTGGGTAGGCGAAACTGCCCTAGTGTAAAGGCACACATGCAACCAACCTTTAAACCCAAGCTTTTGCCAGACAAAATGAGTTGTTCGATAAAAGTATTAACTGAAATGGAAACTACTTGGAATTCCACTGAAAATAAACGCTTCAACTTTTACTTGAAATTCGGGATTAAGCCTCAACCTTAATTTTGACATTGTTTTACTCTAAGGCTTGAGAGCCAATGCAGCAGTAAACACTCAGAGCTGAGCAGCAAAGATTTCAAGTAGATAACAACGGTTGTTCGATTTGTGGTGTTTGGCATGACCAACTAAATAAGCAGCCAATCTTCAACGTCAGCTTGTGTTAATATCTACGTTTTGACCCCATCTTGCGCTCAAGCTAGTGGTAATAAGTAGGTGCCGCTGAACCAGAGTTCAACGGGTAACAGCACATTTATGATAAAGTCGCTTTAAAAATCTTGCACCTCCTGGTGAATGATACAAACAATACATTTTAGCACACTCCGCTGATCGCAGATCTGACTCTCGAACACAAAAACAAACGGACAGTCGTGGTTATCAACGAAGATGAGTATTAAAAGCATGCAACTCACAAGGAGGCAGAACCGATAGCCATGGAAGAGCCCAGAGGAGCCTGCTTCCCGAGCTCGTCTAGCGCGCCTTGAAGCATAGGTATTAGGAGCGGTACTACAGCCAGTCACCTCGAAGGCCTCTTCCTCCACCCGCATCTTCATGGCATCACACGTCTCGATCCAATCAAAAGAGAGAACCCAGCAGCCCTAACAGTAACAAAGGAAAGAGGACCTGATTGAGCATACATATTCCATACCGCAGGGACCTATGGAACGTGCATCATCTGCTAGTGCAATAACAGTGGACAGAAACCGCAATGCGTAGATGTGAAGCTGTTCTGTGGACAAGGTAATTGAAACGCGAGAAAGATTTAGCCCACCTGCAACACAGCACATAGGAATTTAAGCGTTCTTGGACAAGTGATTCCTACGTCTGCAGACTTCGAAACCTTTTCCCCCTTCTTTTTCCTTCCTCTTTGTTGTTTGTCACCTTTCGTTGGAGTAATCTGTGCACCTGTGATAAGATGGGTCACCTCCGCCGAAATATTCACAGCAACTCTGGCGTGGATTTGACTCGCCACTCTAGCCAGCATGTTCTTTTGGTTCCGATTCAGACCCGTACCCAAGAGGAGAGGTCTAAGGCGTCTTCTACAAACAGGAAGGAGAGTCGGAGTTCACACACGAAATATCACCTACCTACCGTTCAACAAAGAGAACGGAAGCGGCATGGTCGGGCACAGTCAGCGTCGCCTTTTCCGATTCCAAAGTTTTCGTCACCGCTGCAGTAAGAAGATCTTGAATGGTCTGAATGTCTTTCAAGGTTTCAACAGAGTTCTGCTGTTTGAGTGGCCGCCCCTTGCGAGACTTAGTGTTTGTGAGGGTAGCTTGATTCGCCTTAATGAGATGTTCAGCACATATCTGTAGCGGCGTGACACCCTGACCATTAGCAAACGTAGGGTTGGCATTGTAACGCAGCAGGAGACGAACTATCTCAACTTGATGGTTACACACAGCTTCGTGAAGAGCTGTTTCTAGATCTGGACCACCCGGCATATCAATCGTGGCGTGGCCGTCAGTGAGGAGGCATTCTACTGCCTACAGAAAGCATTAAAACCTCAATCCTGGAGTAAAAATAACAACACAGAAAAGTGGAGATACGATTCCAAAGGTGTTGCGAGAAATGTGCAAATTCTTAAAATCGAGCATTAAGAATCGCAGTGGTAAAGTATACAAATCTGATTACTTAGTAGGAACAACCGATTACGTGGCGTATACAATCGTATCGTGTCTGTGCAGGAGATTAAGCAAAAAATGCGAAATCAGAGCACTCTTGAGCACTCAAAGAGAAATTTAGATGACCCGAATAACGATCCTTCGCATGTCTGAATGATACAGATCATTGCGGCAAGGTGAGATGAAGCGATCAGGCGGAAATGTTAAGCTCACTAGCCATGTATGCTTAAAGCTCCAAGCTAAACAGAGCTATCGGGACTACGAATACTAAATCCGAGGTCACCAATAACAATTGGCTTTTATGCACAAATTTCCTTGTTATTTGAAAATGGATAAGAGAATGAATAAAACAAACCACTATTTCGTCACGAAAAGACAAGGAACCCTGAAAATAAGGACAGCATCAAATTTCATTTCTAAATACACCAGGCAGGTCAAATATCAACACCTAATGGCTACATTCTTCACCTTCCAAAGTGACAGCAACGAAATTAACAGAATATTCTCGAACAGAAGGTACAAATAAGAGGAAAAAATTACAGTTGAAGGGCTATGGACTTAGTCACAAATAGATCCGAATCCAGAAAGCATATACACATGAATAAACGAAACAATGGAAAGCACCTCGGCATGTCCACGTAGCGCCGCCTCATGCAACGGCGTCCAGCCAGCGTGATCGCGAGCATCTGGCGAGAGACCGGCGGTCAGAAGGCGCTTCAATTCTGATACGTTGTTCTTAATGGCAGCTCGGTGGAGGGCACTCTCGCCCTTGCTATTCAGCTTTAGATCAGTTCCTTCTCCACCTCCAACACCGCTGCCTTTGGTTCTACGTCTGTAGGCGGACCTACGATCTTCACGGCCACCATTGCCACTGTTAGCCGAAGATTTCCGTTTCAGTGATGATGTGTGCAAGGAGAGAGGCAAGACTAAGGTTTCGGCCATTCCTGAATGCTCTGGGGAAGCTAAAGGTGCCTTCGGTTCGACTTCTGTCTTCGATTTTGGCGTGACCTGTGGTGATTTATATTTAACACAAGGATAGAAAAACAAACGTGAAAGTTAATAAAACGAGGATCAGAACACCAAACAGCAATTATTCAGGCAAATTTTACGAGCCAGTTACAATACAAAAAGACAAAATTCAACCCCAAAGCAAGTAAAAAACCTCCCAGCCTACTACTAAGAATCAGTGTGAAGAGAATATTGATCCCTGTAAAGTAGTCAAATTCCAGGATCTGTAGAAGTGGACAGTAATTAGCGGCGGACAAAATAGGTAGCAACGAGAAAGAGAACTACCCTAACGTAATGTCTTATTGGTATTCCTTGTCTATAGCTTAAGGCAAGACAAGGTAACGGATTCAACAAATAAAAGTACCATGATCGACACGCCATCGCGACAAATTAGGCATTCATACCATTTCGTCATCCCCTAAAGAACGCACTTTTTCCGGGGGTTCGCTAGCAATACCACTCCTTCGATGAGAGGATTTTTTGCAAGGAGCCGGTGGTGGCGGCATTAACGTTGCGGGAACCATACTTTCAGCATCAATGCTCCTAGTTAGCACAACAACTGGTCTGGGTGGATGAAAAAAAAAACAAACTAAGACCAGAAAAGTAAGCAACGCAGGTCATACAACGACTCACTGGAGAGAGAGTCTAGTAGAGCATTCAAGAGGAGGCACTGCAGTAGTCGTAGGTGAAGCATTTGACGAGTCAAATGATCTCAAATGGCTTTTTTGAGCATGTGAAGGTGACGGACTTTCAAAGTGATGGTAATCAACATAACTCAAACACTCCATACTATCATGCGACTCCTCGTCTGCAAATGGGAAATCGGATTCAGATTTCTTCATACAACGATACATGAAAGACCAAACCGATGAAACAAAAAATCATACCTTTCGACTCAACACATAGAGTGGACGAATGAGAAACCTCATTGTTCCCAAGGAGCTTCGCAAGCCGTCGAGCAACAAGAACAAGATTGTGAAGCTGAGGATGAGGCTTAATATCGCAAGGACGAATAGGAATGTAGCAAAGAGGACAAATATTACTAATCCCTGTGTGCTTTTTTGATCGACTTCCCGCTGGAGCAACACTGGTACTACAGCACTCCAGACAAAGCGTGTGAGAACAAACTCCAGTAGTAAATGGTTCATGTAGAGTCCGGGAGCAGTTATCGCATCGCAGTAAGTCAAGCAGCTCCTTTATAGAGGCCTTTGTTTTAGGAAACTCAACCATAGACGTCTTTCAATGCAGTGTAATTTCCGGGGGTAGACTTCGATAGGAGGCAAAAAAGATTCACTAGGTTCACACCATACACACCCTCAATAAGAAAGGAGACTACAACGAAGACCCAACCCTACAAGTGACTCCAGATGACCCGCTCTTTCTTGAAATATGAATAATTGATGCAAATAAACTAATAATTATTGTAGATGACATTTAGCAGATGCGTCATTAGTTGCACAATTTATAAACGTTTGTTAATTAAGCCTTCATTTATATTTTTAGTTTATGTGTGAGCCAATAGCGATCTGCTTTGAATACTATTCTAGTAGCGGGTCATTTAAGGCTAAGCCGCTAGGTCTTCGTTGGGTCATCTGGGTCCTGGATTGGAAGTCTCATCTCCTTCTGTATGTCAGCAAAGCAGACCCTGCTTGTAGTCTCTTTTTTGCCTTCAAAGTTGTGTCGATGTGATATTTAGCCTTTTGTTGTGAAACCTGTTGTCTTTGATAAGTGTGAGAAGTGCATCTTTTTCCATAGACAGAATTGCTGAACATCATCGTTTTTATTGTAGTTGAACGGCTATTCACTAAATTTCATTCTTTGAACATTCTTTAACTTGTTAGATGCCTCGTTTGGCTATGCCTCACGGTTTTGTTGGCATCTCCCAGTAGTTAAAAGAATTATTTGGACAGCTTCAGAAACAGTCTTATCTCTTGATTATTTGCATCGTCACTGTTTTTTAACAAAATTAATTGAAATTTGGTAAGCACATGCTCCTATTCGACACTATTAGGGGAAGTTTGCACTATTTCATTTAAGATCATTGCTAGAAAATGTCCAGCTCGGTGGCTTGTCTGCGTCGCATTAGTCGGTTACTGAAAGGCGCTTCTCTTGGGATGCGTCGGGCCATTTCACGGCCAATGCCAGAACCTGCAGACAACATTGATCAAACACCGCGGCTGGATTTTCAAGCAGATTCTACCGATTTTCCCTCTGATTGGTGGGTTGATCCTGCACAGATAGAGTTCAGTCTCTCTGACGAATTGCTCAAGGGCATGGAATCAATTGTCGTCTGTCGACAGTGCACTTGCGCAACTCTTTCACGTATTTCGCCTGAAGATCCGAGACAACGTAAGCATATTTTCGTGATTTCTTTAAATGATTCCCTTGCTTGACTTTATGTATTCATCTGCAGACAGAAAAGGTCAAATTCTCAAACGAATTGAAGAAGTTGAGACTCGTGCGCTGGTGTTTCTCACATTGCCACCCCCGAACACTGGGGGGTGGGAAGATATAGAAATGATCGATTGGATCAACACCATCTTCAAGCGTTTCTTGGAGGATGCTGAGGCGTGTTTGACAGATGCCAACGCCCTTCTTAGGGGAGGGATCGTACAAAAGGAGTCAGAGTCTGCTCATTCTGTTCCTGTGCGTCCATCTTCTTTGTTAAAGTTTGATAATGTCTTCCTGGTCTTGTATTTTGTCCTTTTTCTTAGTCATTCCTCCTCAAACCTGATCTGCCAAAAGATCTTCTGGTCCCGGGATTCTCTCAAAGTGATGCTCTGGCGATCAACAAAACGATAGCTAACTCTGTATTCCATTTGCTCTCAGACCCCGATCTTCGAGTGACAACATCACTGGTTAAACTTATCATAGGGTCCGCCTGCAGTCAGGTCAGTTTCGTTGCTGAGATGCTGAAACCCCAACACTATTCAATAATCTTAAAACCGACACTTTCAATGCTGGTATGGCGCATATCTGCAACCAGCTGAGTCTCGGTGTCTGCGAAAACACTCAGATGCGTTACCATTTACGTTTTCCCATTAAACTATTGCAGGAGGATCAAGTTATTGCACAGCATCTACGATTAAATGACAGGTTTTGACTACATGTCAAAATAGCCATTACACTGATCTTTTTTTATTTCGTTATTGCAGATTACAGGGAGTGATCCAGAGCACTGTCTCAACCGGCTGAACTATCTCTTGGCCTTATTCGGGGGTGCGCCGGTGCGTCCGCCGGGCGCTGCAACCGAGATTTTCCGCCTCCCTGAAGGTATGGGCACGGAATTCGCATGGCACTGCCTTCTGAACTCTGCGTTGGCTCAGGCGGAGCGCCAATTCGCATTCTCACTACAAAGTGTTCTCCCCTTTGCCGCCGTTTTGGCCACGCTCCTTGGGCGGTATCCGAAGTATACGGTGAGTAGTTATACAGGCTATTCACAGTCCCCAAAATACTTCCACTTTACATTTCTTTAATGGTTGTCTTTTTGAATTCGACGATGCTTTGGTTGTATATTTGTCACATCGACCGTGCTTCTTGTCCCTCTTTTCCGATTCTCAATAATTTCAAACTTTTCAGCCCAAATTCCTTGCGCGGATGGCATCAGCGTGTCCCATGCTCACATTGTACGTTGATGACCCAGCCATCATTTTCGCCTCACTCGATACGGAGTTGAATGATGGTGTGCTGCAGAGTTGGCGCGGGACTTCCCGTCTCTTTGCCGCCGTCCTCCTGGCTCGCCCACCTCCTGGCTTTACTCAGCGTCCAGAGCATCTAAATCCCAAACTCCTCTGGATCACTATAGCAGGCATCGGCAGGCATGTGGACAAACTCGATGTCACCTCTGAGGTTCGCTTTTATTATTGGAACAAATTTAGCGGCAAAGGCCAAGTTCTTGCTGGTCTGTATTAATATCTGTTGCATTTCGATTTTGTATCTAGAACCCACTACTTGTAACCCTTACTGATTCACGTTTTACTCAAGGTGGCAGCTAGTACGCATGAGTCAGTAACTGTATAATGGCGGAATCTGGCGGAGTTGGTTCTTTCAAATTGTTGTAGTTAGAACCCATTTCTTTAAACAGATAAGTGGGTGCTAATTGTGTATGGCTGAGTTGTTGTATTTTAGGTCCTTCATGGCCTAATTGAAGTTGGAGGCTACGTATTGCTTCAGCTTTATCGATGTCAGGCCCGAAGATTATTCAAGAGCCTGACTGATGCCATCGGCAGTTCTCAGTCGGTGTCGCAGCTGGCACTGTTGACGTGTCTGGAACAGCTTCTCGACCCTGCTACAGCATCCGAAAATGGGCATGGAGTTCTTCTGGACGACTTTTGGAGCTAATTATTCTTTCGTCCCCCCCTTTATCTTGTACAGGTGCACAGGCACAGACTTACCAGCTTTGACCTTAAAGTTTTTTGCTTAAGGTTGTGGAATTTGCGGATTTTTTGCCTTCTTTTCCTTTAACAATGGTCCGTTGGATTGGGTGTTCATTGTTGTAGCCAATGTACTCGAAAACGCACACAACTGTATTCACCAATTGAGCGGTCGTACAGATTCAGAGGAAGCCGACATTTTGATTTAATTGATCAGTTGCTGGATCAGACTTCTAAATTGGTCAAGGTCGAGAGCATAAACTACGGGAATTTTATTCACACACTAGAACATGGCGAGAATGGGGACTAAGGCTACGTCAAATGGGGGAGTTGATGGGTTCGACAATTCGAAAGGGAGAAAGCTTCGAGGGTAGTTGACATTTAGACCATGGCCTCGTTTACATGTTTACGAGCCTCCAGTTTCTCAGGTTCAGGCATGCTGTCAAAGCTTGGCATGTCAGGGATGCGCTCTGGCATGGGCGCCAATTTGGGGACCGGCTTAGGGCGCTTCGTGTCCACGAGACGCACACGATTAAAATACCCCAGCTCTGGTCGTTCAAGACCCATCTTCTCCTTTATACAGTTGTCCAATGGATATTGGAGCTTACGACACCTAAAAATAAAGGACTATCGCAACTGGAAAATTCCGCATGCTAGAATAACTCAAGACTCGTTACAATCTATACTTGTTTAGTTGAGTGCAATGGCATTTGCCGGGTCGCGCACCAAGTTGACTCGTTTAACACAATCGCAACTTGTCTAAGTGGTAATAGGATCCAGCCACAATGAATTTACAGCTAAGATGCGTGGTTTTCATTCAAATTAGCATTAAAACTAGCCCTTAGATTAGCTTGAAAGGTTCATAAGCTTATCACTACGAAGCTACGAGTAGATATCCTATTTATACCCAGATGAAATGGAGTTAGAGGGTGGTAGCATGATCATATCACAACCTCAAACTGTAAAAGGAAGATATCACCCTATTCAGCACCAACTTATTAAACAAGGTGCAGGTGTAGGGAAATCATAGGCCTCTATAATTCGAAGAGATAAAAAAGAGCAAATAAGAGCAAATAAGAAGCACAATATTTAGCCTACTTAGAGGGAAAAAAATACACAAAAATTCAGGTGCCAAGGAAGAATCATCAAATCTACGTACTTCTGAATGGTGAAGTAGGGCCCTCCGTGCTTCCAGATACACTGGTAGTATGGAGCAAATACATCAGCGCAATTCTTCTTCAATAACCTCAGAAACTCCAGACCGCATGCAGTAACATCTTTACCTTCTTTAAGGCATTTCCTAGGGTCGTGATTTTCTTGGCTACAGAGCATAAACTCCTGAACATCTCAAAATCCACATAGCGCGCACCTTCGACTGTTGATCACAGTATTTTCCCATGTACAACGCCGCAGCAAGCAGAGGAACAGCAGTCATCTTTATTTCAGGAACTTCTAACTCCTCCAGCGTTGGCAATTCAGTTGATTTGGTAAGCATCCTACCTGTATAACACTTCCAACCTAAAATAGCGCCGAAATTTTCGCGAGAAAAGAAGGTCGATACTTAATATCCACCCATAAAAATATGATGACACGAATATACAAACAGAATTTTGTTGTGCTTTATAGCTTCGATATCATACAATTCTTGTTTTTTAAAAGTACTTATCACTTACAGGTTACAGAAATTCGAGTTGCTTAAACAATAAATTAGTGTTTTTGCTACTGGATCTGTTGGCGCTATCACGATAAAACAGAACTTTGCTTGTTGGGACGATTGAGCACGTTGGGAAAACGTGGAGCAAAGTATCAAATGGGTGGCTCCATACATGCCTTGGGAAATATTCCACTGATGGCTTGACTCAAATTTTATTGGATTTTATGCAGCACAAGCACCTAGTACATTGATACCGTCTTTAGCGTTTAAAGACTTCCTACTGTGTGGAAGGAAACATTAAGCTGGAGTTTTATCAAGCATCCTGGGAAGAAATGTATTGTTTAAACCTTGAGTTATTCTCGTACAAGAGCAAGACGAAAACCAAAGCCACGGTCAAACCTCAGGACGTCACAGAAATAAAGTATTACAGCCCCATTACCAGTTTTTGTAGCATCCCGAGACCTCCTGGCCGGTATAAGATGTCAGTAAATGTAACTGAATATATGCATTCTGAAGACGACAGGACAAATGGGCCTGGATATGGCCAGAAGACCAGCCCACGTGTACAAGGGCCAGACAAATCTTAAGATGACGGCCAAACGTCATGTGGTTACTACTCCTATATTGAAAACCTGTGTTTTACGGTGATCTGAGGGTAAAGTACAGATCGAGCTATCAATATTTTGAAATATAAATCTATCCAGATAAAGAAAACTCATGCACAATTACCCTAGTACCCCACATCATAGCTATAATTTGGGCTAAGAAAAACAGATGGACGGAGTATGCTGTTAGCTCACACGAGGAGTGGGAGCAACTAACGCGTCTAGGAGGCCACGTCTCCAAGACGAGGTGAATGTTATTTAACAGCGTAAGTTAGACTGCAGCAAACCATTTTTGATCTTTTGCCCGAAAGTTCAATCAGGTAATGTTTATGAAATATGATATTGTAATACTTTGTGTGATCGCCTGCATGACTGGCAGTTACTTTTGCATTTGTCTTCCCACTGCACGTGTGGGCTAGCCTTCGAACCAAGCCAAGGCCCAATTCCTTCTCATACTCCTGGGGTATACGTATTCATCTCAACTCAATGTACTCTTCCACCAAGTGGAAAGCCTCGGGGCGCTACAAATATCGTTGTATTCTCTCTCGCATTCTTTAATTACCTCTTTAAGAGTGGTTTTATGTACCATTGTAAAAGTTAAAAGCTGGAAGGATGAACACAAAGGAAGGCAAATGTCTACGAAGCTAAGGCATAATGGTCACAGATTCCGCAAGCACGGCTTTAAACTGTACTCCCACTTCTCGCCTACAAGAGACATTCTCAAGCAACTCAATATGCAATGTGATCATTCTTTAGAAATTGCATTAATATTTCTGATCTACTGAAGGTTATGCAATGCAGGAACTGACAGTTTATGACAATTGAGGCCCTCGGCCCCCTTCACCTTTATGCCTCACGCTCAATCTGATGAAGCTGAAATTTACTGAATCATGCTTAACCTCACCCCCTCCTTAAAAACATCTTTTTTATCCGACATATAGAATTTAAAACCAGAATGTTGGTAATTTTAACTTGATTTCTGATTTACCGTTTCGCTGATTATGGCAAAACAAATTATGTCATGGACTTGGATGTTGTCATAGTCCGACTCTTATTTAAGTTAGCTTCAAAACTATGGTGATATCTAAGCAGAGTAAAAAGGCGATAGTGGTTCCGCTACTAATAATGTCTTCCACCGACACGAACCGTGAAGCAGTGAGGTGTGCGTATGCGACAAGTGACTAATTGCAGGGGGCTTGGGGTGCTCCCTCTCTCACCTTTGGCATATTTATTGGCTTTGGCCTCACAATGTTGATTGGAGAGGTGTCCCTCCATGTCTTACTGGCCAATGAGAAGGCGATCCTCTGTTGCGCTAACTGCAAACACTTGATAGAGCAATAGTTGAATTTGTAAGCGTGCCCTCATGAGAATGTGCCATTAGTGACTTCCTCGTAAACTATCAAGATGATGCTTGACACGAGATGACCCTTATCTTCTCCTCTACGTTACTCTAAGAGGCTGAGCATACATCCGAAAGCGATATTTGGGAACCGTTTAGCGGTATATCCACCAATAAAGTTTTATTTTTAAATGCTGATTTCCAAATCTTACAAGACTCAAGCGCTTTCAATGGCTTACAGAGTGCTTATCCCGATTCTGGTGTCGAAAGTAGATTTCCAAACAACTTTCTGCATAAACAACTGTCACGCACTGATCGAGAATCTTGTCGATTTTTGTATTAAAGTTTCTTGAGATTATCCATATTGGTACCATTAAACGTTAATTGTTCGTAGAAACATTTTAGTGCCATTGGCAGCCGTTTCCTCCTCATAATTTCAATAATTGACGTCGGAGTGTCTTCCTGCTGGACTGGAGAATAAAGCAGAGATATAATAGTTTGGTGACAGAGTAGTTTTCGAAAATGTAATTATGTTCCTTTGTCTAGGGTCAAAGCTTTTATGGGCCCTAGTTGACTCACGACAGTCCAGCATTCCTAGGGCTCTAGTAGCCATGGGAAAAACTAGAGATTCAAAGGAGTGGGTTGGTGGAGCTATGCTGTTCTTGGGGCTATGGACGACCCAATCCATCTGGTTGCTTGAGCAACTGACCTTTGCTGCGCAAATAAGACAGTTGAGGCTGCCCCACTTTGTCAACTTCGTTTACAAAGCCCATGAAACAATGAAGACTCCTCCTATGAAAATCTCCTCGATTTCAACTCAATCCCATCGAAGTTAACGTCCCTTGAAGACGTGACTGTCAGTAAGATGTTCTATAAATTAAAACTGTTGATCTAGCGACAATATGAATTAAAATCTGGGGCTCTATGAGAGTTCCCATTAACGTGACCGCGATCTGTTTAAACTGTACAATCACGGGCACTACCAATATCTCAGCTGGGGTAAGTGGGGAAAGGTTCGCTCTGGGTAGATGTATTTCCAAGATGTGTGTGTAAGTCAGATGAATGACTCTCTCACATTCGATGGCTAACGGCGTACTGGAGAATTGGAAGCATTCTCAATCATGCATAAGGTTTTGACGAACCTCAATCTGTTTTAGATTCTAACAAACTTAGAGTCACTATACAAACCTACTCCAATCGAGAGAGAATCCATCAAGAGTTCCAAGTGTTGAGTATTAAGGATCTCTAGAGTCTGAGAAATTTGTGAAAATAAGTAAAAATTACAAGCTGAGTTATATTTTGGATTGCAGACTTTACTGTCTCACAGCTTACCAGTAAACAGTATTAAAAGACAAGTCACCAACCGTCTTCGGCCGAATGAACACGCCATCAAGCCTTAGATTTTGGGTGAGAACTTCGAAGCTTCTTCCGTTCAAAAAAGCACATATCAAGGAATGACTTAAACAAAGGATTTTTCTAATTCTGTGTGAAGGATCAAAATCAGATAAGAGTGGATTCAAATGCACGTTGCGAAAATGAAGTTGGTGGTTTTGGGAACAAGTTGCCGTTAAAGACTAGCTTAACTATTTTTCACCTAACGAGATAATGAAACAGCAGTTCTATTGCTAATGAAAGAAGGCGTCTACCATATTTGCAATGCCATGTTTGAAGCTCCAGCTGCATGGTACTTTTCAAAACTCTTCAGTTTCAAAAGTGGTCGCAGAGACGGTTGCGTCATCCACTACAAGGTTAGAAAACATCCACTTAGCGCGTAACCCTAGAAGTGAGACAAATCTTACCTCACAATCCATTCAGAAGAATTTGACTCTCTACAGATTAGTCGGCTGTGAGTAAGGTAAGCCAAATTGCCTGTAATTCTAATTGCTATTAATCCTATTAAAGATGTTGCTAAGCTCCAAGTGTCTCCACATGAATCTCCCATATCAGGTGGGAAAACCCTCAAGAGTTCTAGAATTTAATGAAACTTAGAGTAAAAGAAACCCGTGAAAGGTTGTAGGAGTTCGAAATAGGCTTTCCGGCTTTTTGATTTAAGACATCCCCAACACGTAGTGTTTAGTTAAGTACAAATCGTGGTCGAGTAATCTGAAGCCAAGAAAACGTATTGTTAACGTTTCACAGGGTCGTGGTGCTCACTCATATCACCAATGTCAATGGCAGTATAGTTTTTATGCCCATTTGCAACCAACCTGTCTCCAGTTTTGCCACTTCCACTGCCCAGAAAGGTAGTCCAGAGGCCGCTAAGCCTCCAGTTGGCTTTGGGCCCACACAGGAAGTCCAGACAATCATAGCCTACCAGATGTTAATCACGTGCGACGAGGTTTAGTTCCCCTGTTCGCCTACCCGACCACCACAGATGCGAATACACGTGAATCATCGGACCGAGTTGCACAGCCCATCTCTCACGAATGCAGTCATCATGGTGATGATGATTATGGTGACTAACATATCGTTTGGACGCAAGAGGTGTACAACACATCCTTTATTCTTTCACTGAGCCCCGCCATTAACCACTCCCCTCTTGAGTTCCACCAATCTAAAGGGCGTGATCCTCTCGTCCGTGCACATAAGGTTCCTTACCCGCATGGACTGACGCTCAATCGCATTTACACAGCAATATTAATTGAGTACTTTATTTCGTGCACAACCAACGTCATCAAATACGTCTACATACATCGAAAAGTAGAAAAGGATAACTTGGGGAAGAGGAGTTAGTACCAAACCATCGGTCTTACGGAATTCAAACAAATCGCTGCTTTAACACCGAACCCTCATCGCCCTTCGCATCCATTGACGCGCTTGGACTGGTAACTAATGCAGATCCACCCTCCTTAATCAGTGTAGCAGCAGCTAGTTTTTCATGTCGGATGTAGCGCTCAAAAAGAGCTTGAAGAAGTTCATTTGTAATGATGTCGCCGGCATTTAGTCGCATCATATAGAGTAAAAAAGTGCCATCCGGGCGGAGACAAGTAGACTCAAAGCGTTTTAGCGTTTCTCGCATGCCCTGATCGTAGGCCTCCGCTACTTTCAGGTAGTGAATCAACGCCTTCACGCGTCGTTGCCGTAGAGAGAGACGGAGAGTCCAAGTTACTATGCTGGTCGCCTGGAGTGTAGCCACCCCAACGAACCAGAACCAAAGGAAAATGTAGATCTTCTCACTGAGCATATTTACCGGCATGGTACACTGGGCAATCAGTGTAGGCATAGTTCTTCCCACCAGTTTAATGGGAACACGACAATAGCCAACACGGGGAAATATCAGTGTCTCCTGCCAGTAGCGGCCATGCCACAAGTCCAGAAGAATCTGAACTCCAAATAACTTATGGCTATCTGGCATACCCAGAAAGCGTTCCATGATTACGACCTGAAAAACAGCGTTGGCGAAATAGAGAAACTTGACCACGAGATAATAGGCACACAGCGCGCGGCCCATACGCTTGCGCGGAAGTAAGTCACCCAAGAAATCGGCTAAGCGACAACATACAGACCTATGAGGCTGATGATCAAGTGGACGCCTAGCAAATAATAGAGTGTCCAAAGCGGAGGCGAGAAATTGAATCCTGTTTTTCCGGTTAATGCCAGTCTCTTTGGCTGCGCCTTGAGCGAATTCGATGTAGAAATTGATGTTTGTTCCAACGCGATTGAATGTCAGGCCCTCCCATATTAGTGAAGGGAAATAGCACAAGATTGCTTGCAGTGCCAGAACCAGAGAGACCCATTGGTAGTAGTCTGAAGCGGAATGAAATTGGTCTTTCTTTTATCGGTTAACGAATGGATAGTTTTATCGCTTCACTCACGCTAGCCCCTCTGTTTCCTTACTTTGTATGCCTTAAGCGCAGGTGAATCTACACCTAGAAAAAAAATAACCGTGACTTTACCGAAACTGAAGCGTCTACAGTTGAAAGATTTAGAGTAGTTACACTACAGAAAGCAAACCGCGGAATTACATCCATCTTCAGACCTCCAACCCAAAGTTAACAACACTGCCTTGAGTTTCAGCTGAATCACCGCCTGACCTACTGCACTTAGCCAGCATTAATGGAAGCCAAGAGGTCAACCTAAATCTCGTGCCCGCAGGCAACTGGGCAATGAATGACTCATCAAATACCGCAAACAGCCATAACATTACACCAACCAATCCTTCAACTAACCGAACACTGGACGACCCATAGATGAGGCGACTGTGACCGAATAACCTCAAGCCTGTTTGGGTAAACACAGCCTATCTTTAAAGTGCAATTATGTTTATCATTTGCAAAGCCGTACTCAATTTCCTGCTTTCGAGATAGTCCCAGTACACAGGATCCTCCAACCGGTTGGTGTTAACATCAGCCGGGACGGTTCCATTGACCCAGCAGAATGCATTGATGTAGGCAATCATATTAGATCCAGAGAAGGTTGTGGCCGTGTAGCAGGAGAAGGGCTCAAAGACGTAGGATTTGAGTGTAACGATGGTGAAGCACATTAGGAGAATAATGAAGGAGAGGAGGTAGGCACACCGATCAGCGAAATCGTGCAAATTCGCCGAGTCAACGAAGTGTAGCTTGTCTAATTGTGATAGGAATTCTTGAGCAACCATTGTAACTACTGATGTGCGTTCGTCGTGGTTGCTCTGCTAAAGGTGGAGAATGAACAGACATATGACTATTTCAAAAACGTCTCCCGAACCGCTAGAGTGCTATAACAAACAGCTATTATCGAAGCTGCTTATTCATGCTGTGAGTGCAGCAAAATGGTCGTGTGGTGAAGTAAAAAGGTTTAACAATCTCCTGTCTCAGAACATCTTTTCTGCCACGCGTGGTCATAAGATGGAGGCAGTGTCGGAATGCATTTATCAATAACAAGACGCCAAACCACTGGACTTCGTTCTGGCCAATCAGAGATGAGCTATGAAGTGGGTGTCAGGGGAATGATTTGCCATCGCTGCAAGCAAAAAAACCCCATTCCATAGGCGATTTTGGCAATATCAGTTCAATTAACTTCTTCGACAAAATTCAGCAACTAAGATTTCGCCTTATGGAGTTTAAATTCACACATAGGATAGTCATAATAATTATCAGAATTTAATAATTTCCAATGCTACAGGGGAGACTATATCAAGTGAATATAAAAGGAAATTTGGTTCATACACGCATTAGATCTCCCCGCATGGGACTTAAGGCTACGGTAGAGTACAGATACACGAAAGATGTGTGTGGTTAAGTCGTTAAAAATCCAAAAGTGCAGACAACAAAGAGCACGAGGAGCTTACACCAGACGATAGGCACTCCAAATGACCGTCCCAACCCCCTCACGCCAGAAAGCTGTGGCAGTCTAACTGGCCAATCAGGAACGCCGCCTCGAACGGACCAATAAAGTGAATGAAAATGCCAGGTCATTGCAACTGGTCACTTTTGCAATCCGCTTCATCCGTTGGCCTCCGATTTTCAGGTCAGCATATTTCACCAGGCGTGAGTTGCAGCGTGTGTACATTTTGGCGTATCTTTGGCAGACTTTGATCGTGGAAGCTAGGCTGTGTGAGCATAATTATGCGTATTCGCATCTATAACCTACGGATACCAGCTTAGCACCTCAAGTTTACATTATGGCTAGCCTTTAGGCACCTGTAAGGTTAAAAGAAAAGATCTGACATTTATGCAGTACACGATATCTCATGTGATTTGTTGGATTATGCATGGAACATATCATGTTTGAAAAATCGACATGAGCCATATGAATTGGACTTTTCAGCAAATATTGCCGGTTAAATCTTGATGCCTTTAGTAGGAAGTGGAATAGCACATCAAATGCCATGATGCTATTCGTGGCGTAAGAATTGGAAAACGATGGTGTGTTGAAAACATAATACCTCCAGAGGATTGTTACTTAGACACCTCTACAGTGATAGACTGATTGGGCACAGACGCGACGGTCAGGCTATAGATACGGCACACCTTGATATGATCTGCCACTTTTCCGTCCTCTTGAACCGTCAAGTGTTAGCAGTCGACTTAGCTTAAATGCTATAGGAATGGGAACCTGGAGCGCACAAAGCAAAAAGATCTCAATTATTGAGTCGAAAATAGGCGTCTCCAAAGTCTACTGCGGACAGTGTTGATGATGGTAACCATAGCAGAACAAGTGGTTTTACGGTAACTTCGGCTAGGAGTCAGAGATACGCTTCCCACTCACGACATGGACTGGCTTAAAAGGCTTAAAAGGCATTCAATTTACAAACACTGCGTGTAGGTTAGACTATTTCAACACTGGGCTAAAAGTAAAAAGAACTTTAGGTTTCGGACATTATTTTTTCCGGCGTTAATGTACCACCTCTCTATACCCAACACTTCCAAATCACACGACGCATCACTATAATCAGACCCCATTTGCAAAGTTTGTGCCTGTGTTTGGCAACATCAAATGATCATTTGCGAAAGATCTATCCATCCGTCCAATACAACCAGTGAATGAAACTAGATGCACATCCGTCACTTTCCAGCTTCACATGCTTTACGCTTGACCCATGAGGAAGTGCTCGTCCTTGCTCCTTTCGCATCATGAGCGTTTTTACAAGGCCGTTTTCCTATTACTTTGACTGTCATTTTTCCTTGAACATTGACAACAGAGTGCTAGATGAAAACATAGGCGAATGTAGACACAATTTTTGTGCTTTTGTCGATCAAACTTTCCATAAATGCAACGCAGTCACAAAATGCACAAATAGAGTTTTGCCAATTTGACACAAATCCACAGTGAGTGCTATCTGTCCTTAACTGCATACCGTTTGACACTGATCACGGCATTAGGGCCGTCATCTGTGCCGGTTGCACACCACAACAATCGTGCCTTCTGCTAGCAATCCATTCACCTCTTGCACAATTTAGCCGCTATGACTGAGCTCAATGACCGTTACAAACAGCAATGGTTTGGGCCTCATCGACCGATTTACTTTAGCAGAATACATGTTTACCCGGCAGAAGGGTCTGGTGATGCAGGCGGAGAGCCAAGTTGAACCCTCTATTGACATTCAGGGTTGAGAAATCAAAGTATTCACCAGCTAATTGGCACACCATGTGAATTTTTTTCCGGAAGACATTCAGTTGATCGACAGTGCAAAAGAAGTAGGAAGCTAAAAATTGTGATATTCTACATTACATTGATTTTATGTTTAAAAAAGGCTTACCATAAAGGAAGGCTAGAAAATTTCAGTTTCTACATTTATTCTCCTCATCCCCACTTAATTGGTGTCATTTCTTCTTAATTATACAAATGTAAAATAAAAACACTCCACACCGAATCTAGCATTCACTTTTGTGTAAGCATTGTAAGAAAATATGTTGCATTTACTGAAGTTTGTTGATTCCTCTTGCCAATTGCACCTGAAGTGGTAAATAGTCGCATCGCATTTCGCGAGGAAATATGGACAGAATGGTTGCCTTATATGGTAAAGTTTAGCCCACGTTAGTGTGTTTGGGTTGGGAATGGGGTTGATCCATGACGCGAGAGCACTCTCCGAAAGACGGACTGATGAATGCACGGCCTGAAGAGGTGCCTTGTCGTCGACAAAGAGGCCATTGGAAAACTATGAAACTGTCCTAAAATTAAAGACGCCAGACGTTTCTGATAACTGGCACACCACCATAGAAACCTTGACGCTTGAGTATGAAACTGCTCTATCTTGGTAGTTGATGTTCTGCTCCTGGTGGCATCGCCAGAAATTTACAACACATTTCAGCACATTGTGAATGATGGTAGACAAATTGTGATCCTAAAAAAATTTACTACCTGGCCTACTGAAAAGTAAGTTGAGTGAGCCGAATTTATACTCACTCCCTGAAGTAGGAGTTGAATGCGCATCTTCTTTGTTGCAAACTACCAACATCCATTGCAGAAGGAAAGCAGAGAACAGAGAAATTGAATGCCAACATGTAAGCTGTACTTGAAGTACAATCTTTCCACATTTCTAAATTAAATGGGTTGTGCTAGAAACACGATAGCGGAAGTAAAAACGTTTGCATGGCACAAGTCATAGGCAGCGTGTTATACCCGTCTACAGTTTTTCAAAGGTCGTCCTTCTCAATAAGGTTACCCTTTCAAAGCGTGGGACATGCCTAAACAATGACGGTGCCAACAACAAATGACCGCTAACAAGTAGAACCTTCTTTGAGGTGTGGATCCTGAACGCTATCCCCAATTCTATCCCACAAACTGTTGTAGCTCACACGAGGACTGATTATGGATGAGGTGGAAGAAGATTAACCGCTTGAATGCATCCTTAACCAAACACTCTCATCAATCTTCGCAGTTCCCACCCCAGCCAAGATAACGTGGTTGTTCCAACCTTAATGGCACAAATCTGCATTAGATGACATGAGTTTAGGAAGAACCGAAGCCCCAAGTATTTGAATTAAGGATAACAACATTTAAATTGCGTTTTAAATAGCCAAGACAGCCTTATTGGTCTCCCAAATATGCACTTCCAACAGTTCAAACTCCACTTAAAGCTTAAACGAAGTTGAGACCACAGGTGTCCGGGTTCCACCTGCTATCATTGCACCACTGCAAGGGAAACCAGTCGTGCCACCTTATTAGCGCTTAAACTAATGATAAATGTTGGACGTAATATACGAGAGGATACCTTAAGGCGATTATATACCCAGCGGCAAAATAAGGGAGGACCAAAATTCCTTGTAGATTTACTGCCATAATTCACCGTGCGCAGGCATGGCAAGAGCGTTTACGACTAACAATGAAGGTAACTTCTCCTTTGCTACAGTAAGCTGACACTGTGCCTCTGAAAACATTTGCATAGCAATTTTGAGGGGATGTAAGAGCTACAATCAGGATCTAGTGAAACACTGAAATTAATAAACACATTGCTTCCTATTTGTTTCGTTTAACATGGTTAATATTCCAATTGCGCTAGTTGTATTACGAGCAAGAAAGCTCTAACGATTTGTAAAAAAACACATGCACTTTATTTTGTACTTAATTACTTAGCGTCTGTGCAACATTTCTTAAATAAGATTCTAGCTAACGGAGAGCCAATCAAAATTCGCGGCCCCTCCAAAAATGATGGGACTAAACAAAAACTTGTATAATTATGTGAAAATCTTTTGATTTGGTAATTATTCGTGATATGTTGTTTGGTTAATGGGCAAAGGTTGTTACAATTATGTAAATAAAAAATCTGTGATGCCATATGTTAGTCCTGCCTAAGGTCATAAAAAACAATTTAAATCCAAAAACGACGCCATTCGAGCTTAATGCGTGTGGCACTGGATTGCCTGTTAGTATAGACTTGAGCTCTTTTTTAGCTAAACAAAGACTGCTTTTTGTCCATGTTTTATGCGGAATTTGATGGTCTGGGACGTGTCTGAGTACACTACTCAAAAGCCTTCAGCAGCTTCCTGTTAAAAGAAATTATTTAACGGTATGGACCAATATTCACAGTAACCTAGACGTGTAGAGACTCGCAGTCTCATCTCTTGTTAGAAAGATTATCAAATCATGTTTTAGTCAGCTACAATTTGGATGATTTGGACAGCTTTCACTATTGTGCAACGTTCTCCCTAAAAGCTGTACCATCATTATAGCGATTGAGGCCGTCCGAAATTGGTTGAGAAAGCATTTCAGTGAACAGTCAGTTTCTAACTATTGTATTCCAAGTGTCTGATATATCGTTAAAGCATCGCGTCCAAGGATGTGTACGCCTGATCCAAGCGTTCACGGTTTGAAGCTTGATTAAAGTGAGTTACGCGATCACAAAGAAGTTTTACATTTCCAATTACTTGTCACGAGTTGTATGGTAACTGGAACAACATCTATTAGGTCAGGTCAAGGATTGAGAAATTCTACATGCAGCCATGGGATCTAGGACTCACAAAGTACACAGGACCGGGATCATTGGTTTAAGTGGGCAGGAGCCTGCAGCGATGTCTCTACCCGCGCCTATTCTAAATAGTTGTCTATTCCTCAGGCAATGCATACTCTTGGGAGATGGGCTAATGTAGTTCGCGTGATGCCATTTATAAAGGTGCAGTCAACAATTTTTATTTAGGCGAAGGTCTGACAAGAGTCAGTGACCAGTTCCATGGTCTCATTTTAAAAAGGCGCATTTTTGAGTGTCACCTAACCTGGTTTGTCGCATATATAGCGAATAACATTTGCTGCAAAATAAATATCTCTTCATTCCACATGAAAGGGTTAAGTAGCTTTTGCGTCGCTGAGTATGGGAGAATGCGAGAATTACAAGTCTATCATTCACTGCGCGATTTCTTTAAAAATGATGGATCTAAATGCGTACCCATTTGCCTTAGTTGTAGATGCGACGATGTTTTTGCTTAAAACGCATAAATAAATAAATAAATAAATGATTGCACCTACTGAAGTGAGCTACAGCGCCCCCTAACCCGCTTTCACATGGCAAGAAATTGAATTGGTATCCACGAGATAAAGTGCATGCACTACTCACGGTAAGTATTTCGCGTATTCTGCATAGTCTCGAGGAGCTTCATGAGCACTCATCACATCTAAATCTAGACACAGCGACCTGAAACTAACACCTACATTGCAGTCTATCAGTGAATGCTCTTATCGAGGCGAAACTGTAGTAATCTTGAACTATTACAACTCGGTAAAGTGGTTTGTTTGCTTGACACATTTACCAGTTTCGAGGATTGGACAATAGCATAAGAGTCAGCTCTACTTTAAACCAATCAAGCAACCGGCTTGACAAAAGCGGCTCGGTTTTCCGGAATGAAATCCAAAACAAATTTGCGGTAAATTTTAAATAGACTGTTTAAAAATTCTGACTCAGGACACTTCTGACAGCTCATTGCCTCTCTGATCTCACAGAAACAGAGGTTACCAGTGATACTCTCGCACCTCGAGGGGAGATCTCTTCGAAGAGCTTTACGGTAATGAACTGTGAGGACTTGTGTGTAAAGTTATGGACGAATCTCGGTCGTAGCTTTTGTGCTTGACCGTCAGTAAGCAAACAGTTCTACAGCCGTCACAGGAGAAATCAGTGAGTGTGGGATGGGTGAGTTGACTCACACCCTCTAGATTCTGTGACAGAAATTGGAAACATACACACTACCACTATGAAGTTCGAACAAGATAAAGTCCATCACTCTATTAAGGCGTTAACAGCTTCAACATCGTTCTAAGATGAACCTGCTCGAGGAATGTGTTGGCTGAGATTAAATCACCGACTATCAGTAAACTACTGACCATTACTTGAACAGCATTATGCAGTGGTTAGATCGAGCCTGACATATTTGAATGACAAAAAATCCACGTACAATTTCCTTAACCGCCCACGAATCCAGAAGCCGTACATAGGAGATACTATTTGACTGCCTAAAGAAAAAATCTACCATTCTCCGTTTTTTTACACTTAAACACGAATGAGAAGAGACCTAACCTCTGGTCCCATTCGAGTGTTTCTCGAGAAACAAACAACCTCGACAACTTTGGAAAAGCATCAGAAAGCAGAAATGATCAGTAACAGTATTGAGTTACGTGAATCCACCAGCTCTGTTAATGAGGTTAATTTCGGAAAGACTATATAGGGCATAATAACAGTTTCAAATTCAGACCTATCCCCTTTCTAGGCTAAAATTGTTCAACCATATTGATGAAGGAAACACGCATCAATCAAGATATACACAGCCAAATAAAACCGACAAATCGTATACAAAGTTTCTTAATATATGAATTTTGTTATTAGGACTAACGACCTTAACTACTCCCACTACAAATATGGCGCATTTCACCAAAAAAAACATCTACTCCCGCGGTCTATACTCATCGTCTGATAAGTAAGAGCTCAAAGGACGCTCCGTATCAAAGTACTCCGAGGATGGGGATTTCGACGAAGTCTGTTGCTGCAAAGATCCTTGACTTCCCTCCTGATTACCAGGAGTCGGTGGTGGTGGCGGAGCAGGAGACCCTTGAGCCAGCTGTCGCTGCTCTTGCTGGCGGTAATATTCCCTTCTTTCAGCATATGTGGTGGGCGTCCGCACGACCACCGGATCCCCTTCTGACCTCGGCCAGTCGTGTTCAACGGAAAAGTCAGGCCTTCGAGGAAGAGGTAGGCAAGACTGGTGACCAAGGAGAAAGTCCTTAACACGACTGTCATGCAATTCTAGAAACATGCGCTTGCAATGACCAATGTAGCTCATCTTTCCACCGACGTAGCCAATCAAGCCTGCCAGAAAGTAGCTGGGCATGAGAAGACGAGGACGATTAAGAAAGAAACCCCGAGATTGCCCAAGGCTAACGACAAGGGAAGCGCCCATGATCATAGGCACACAACGGCGCCAGAAGGACTCTTTGCGGCAGCGTCGAAATGTCGCCAGATCCTCAATGGTCAATTCAGGGGGACCAGTCTCGAGCCCGCTCATCAAGGTTTCTGCAGAACAGAGAGTTTAAAACGGTGACTAAATTCCACACACTAGAGGCCAATAAGAAACGACCCTATGGTGACGGAAGATACAACTACAAAAGATCAAGATCTCATTTATTTGTCTCATGAAATTACTCAATAATCAATGCCGGGACCAAGTATCAATAAAATGACCGGCATAAGTATTAGCGGCTGTAGCTGTGAATAGCTAGAATAACTACAAGTGAGTTCCTACTTGGAACTCACCAGGTATTTCATTTGAAATCCCATTTGCAACGTCTGTTAGCAACAAATTCACGTACATTCCTATCAGCTCAAAGGTCCGTAAAGCCAAATAGCTTGTTCTCGCGGGCTAGTTGAGGACCTCCACAATGATTGGATCGGAGGCCAGCAATGCCCTTTCTTACAATACTCAAAATCAAACTACACATAGAAATTTATGTCGAAAAAATTTGTCAAAGTAGATTTCTCGCTAAGTAAAATACAATAACCAAAAGGTCTTTATAGTAAACATTTAACTTTATTGCTATAACAATAGCCTCTTGTCCAAGACTCTCAGCGACCTACCTTCTCACACACGATCGGGACTCTATGTAAGTGGGAATCGACTTTGCGTCGAAGTCCTCCTATTGTATATTACTGCTATGGGCAGATAGCTTTTGAATTTAAAAGCTTTGAATCGCCTTAATCGTCTCTGTGTTTTAGATATACGTAAGCATTTTTTGACACTACTGTTATGGTTTTGTAAGGATTGTTAGCCCTGCCTATTAAGCATAGCCTATGCGTGGGTATTGCCCTTTTTCCTCTAATTTTTGCGTCTTATCAGGACAAAGTTATGCAAGTAATCCATATTTCTGTGTTGGATGCCATTGATTGCCCTTGCATTGTCTTCTCATTTTTCGACTTTTGTGGTTTCACCTTAAACCTGAGTCTGAATGCACACAAAGTCCCATTGATTTAGCTTGCTCTTTTAAGCACACTTTGGTTTAAAATTTTTGAGCACTGTTCATATACTCAGCATTTACTAATCAATGCATGGGCAAAGCCCGATACTTTGCTCAAGCTCTACTCTATTGCAATTAGTTTCTCTGCTGCCATTATGTATGGCGAACTTAGAAACTATTGGTTACAACTAAGGAGCATGCGTTTTGGCCAATTAGCTGCAGGAAATGAATGGGCAGTAATGCAGCTTATGCAAGAGTTATGGGGGAACTATTTGTCTAAATTAGGTTTTGTGAGCACGAGTATTCATTGCATCTGGCTTCCTATTTGGTGATGTTTTGCCTTCTGGGGCTCTAGCTCTGGCTGTTATTATCAATATTAGCAGACATTATTAAGACTAGATGGTTAAGCAATTTCAGTCACTCCTTTTCTTAACACAGATATGTTCATTACAATTTAATTGAACTTTTACTTATCATGTTGTTAATGTACCGAAAGCTATGGACTAGCATGAACGGACGTAAGTCAGAATTAAAAATTAGTCTCGGTTCATGATTTCAACTTTCCCTGTTTGTGTACGTAGTCCTACCTAACCTCGGACAAATGCCTAAGGGTCTTAGGTTAAATCGAACGAAGCATCTTGTCTATTACCCAAAATCAATTTGTTTGCCATCCCGTTGCCCATAAATCTGATTTGATATCTGCATGAATTGAAGCACCTAAATTCCTATTCGAGAGTGCATAGTTTTAAAGAGTGAATCCTCCAAATTTTATTTGTTCAAGTCAATCAAACAATTTATAAGGACACAGTCAGTTTACTTCCCCGTTATTACTGCCATCACTGAAACCTACTACTCTGAATCCTTTTAGTTTTTCGTCGCATCAACTAACAGCTGCTTTTCTAATCCTGAAAATTTCACATATTTGTGGCTAGACTCGTTATTTTTAATGTCGGTATGTTAGGTGATTGGTATAAGCATTGCATGGAGGCGAGACACGTTCTCTAAGTGTAACTATCACGGACTGTATATTTCTTAACTCCACAATAGTCGCTTTGGATGGCTTTATTCGCCCGTCAGTCAACCACGAATCAAAGTTTTTCTCAATGGAACGTGCTTCACTCTAGTGGCTGCTTCAAAGTTTAGCTGGGTGAACCTCGATTTTTTTGCTCTTGTACTCGACGTATTTCTCTTTAGAGCTGTGTTTTGGGAAATTGAATTGATTATTAAATTTGATTCAGGTTGATTCAGCTTTACCCGGGATAATAATTCCAAATCGAGTCGCAAATTAAACCACAACTTCTTGATTCGCCCATCATTACCTCACCTCTTGCTTTCTGCCTTAACATTAAATTACCTTTTGGTGTTCAACCGCTTGCTCAGCTGCATTTGGGTCTTGAGTTCTATGCTTCTCTTAAGTGAATCATTCGAAAAGCATTGTAATCTATGTCCATGAGCATTCGCTTGGTTGTTGCTGCCGGATGTTCGGCTCAAAGCTTATTTCATTCTATCCGAATTCCTTATCTTGGTCCTTCAAATTAATTCGATTTGTTGGTTTTGGCTTATAGAACATTTAATTACTACTGGGTTGCTTTAAAAATATCTCTATCTTCTTTCAGTTGAATCACATTACAGTCCTTCTGTGCACATTTTTTATTCTTATACAAATTAACAAATGGGGGAACGGAAATTTACCTTTGCTTTTATGAATCACTCCAGTATATTTTTGTTCCTTTATAGCATCATCATGAACGTCGCAGCCAAGGCAATAGAGGAAGTCCAGCCAACAGAACTAGCAAAACCAGATGCAGTACCTGGCAGCAGCGTCGGTGGAGACATTGATTTAAAGGTCGACACCGAAGCAGAAGCCGATTTGCTGGCAGTGGAGGCTATTCCCGAGTCGGCTCTGGAGGTGGTGAAGCGTGAGCTTATTCGTGAGATCGCGGAATTGGAATGGGAGTTTAAGCAGATCAAAGAGGCTCTCTTTGCAGAGCGGATCGCTCAGGTGGATCGAAAACTGCAGCAACTGCGCGCCTCCGAAGCGCCTGAACTCCTAAAGGTTTTCGAATTGGTGGATGAGACTTATAGCATTCGAAAACAGGTTTGCATAGACTTTTTACTTTTGCTAACCTGTATTGGTCACGTCTTTAACATCTCGGGGTCCTCACTTGCACTTGCATAGCAAATTTTGGTCGCCTTATGGAAGAAATTATGCGCTGAAATCCGATCATTAGTCACTCATTTATTCAAGCATTATTCGTGTTAGGTCACATTTTATGGATGAAATATTGGTTGTCATCAAAGTAATTCCGATTTCTCATGTCACAGTTTTTCGTTTGCTCCTTGACTTTCATTTTTATTGCTTCAGTCGGTCGTAAGATCAGTATCAGATCAGTATCTCTTCTCTAGTCGCTTGCCCCTGGAAAAAGTTGTCTTCATTACCTCCTCTTCATTCATGCTTTGGCAGCGAAATTTTGTCGTCATTCTGATTATCTCATTCTCTCGTGCCACCATTTCTGTCTCCGTCAAAGTGATGCCATTTATTTACGAAAACTACTGATTTAAGGATGCTTTTGATGAGTTCAATCGCTGCAAACCTTTTGTCAGACGTATCCATCATGGCACTGACGATTCGTTTGGGTACAGGGCAACACTACTTCAAATGTGAAAATTGATGCGAAAACTGAAAATGCGACTTTTATGAACAAAGTAGTGAGTGTGCTGAAACAATATTCAAAATCTTGCCTAACTTTCATCTTATTTTCGTACTTATTGCCCAAGAGCTTTGTAGTACCGCTGTGAAAGCGGGGCAGCTCGTAAGTTACTCAGAAAGCAGATTTTCAGGTTGAAATTAGCAACCGTCTTACAAACTATTCCCGACTACTTAAAACTTAACTTCACTTCTGGACACTTTTTGAACATAAAGGTGGCGAATTCATCCTAGCACTGGAGCGTAGAGCATGAATTTGGAGATCTTTTGAGCATTTTATAAGGGTTGTACATCTGGGTTGCCGTTAAAGGCATCTGTGTGGTGTATTCTGCCGAATTCTATTGCAATCGCAAATTTGACCATTTATTACGCAAAACTAGATGGGTGAATTCTCATTGGAATCATAGGTCTTCATACAATGGCACCTAATGGGATCATTTGTCTTAGCAACTCATCTTAACTAATGGTGACGATGATTTTCTGTGAGCAACTACGGATGGTTGTATAACCATCCACTGGTTCATCCACTCGATGATGTTCTGTGCCAAAGTGCTTTGAAGCCAAACTTCCACACTTCCTTATGTTTAAAGTCTATCACTATACAGGTGGCAAAACATCGACGTGACTTTGAACTGGAGGTGGCAAATAAGGAATTTGACAACGCCCTTCAGATGACCACCTACGACGCAGAGGAGAATCTGCGCACCACTGAGGAACGCGTTCGCTTGCGCATTCAGGAAGGAATCTGTGCCCTTCAGGTGGAACGCGCTATGGCCAAACGCACACGTCAAACCCTTAAGACTGGTGCTTCTGGAGGAGGTGAGTAGCGGTAGTGCTCGCTCACATCTAATAGCTTCAATTGTGACTGGTGCTAAGTGAAAAGGGATAAAATGGACATGGTTAAATAAAAACATTGGTGGTTGACGATTTAGCAATAAAGCGGATACTAATATGGGACACAGCCATACCCTCTCTTTTTTGTCATATGAGGAGTAAATATTGCGGTTTAAGTAGATTTTTAAAGCCCAACTTTTACTATCATCTTGAGCAGCAGGATTGCGTTTTTAAACAATATTTAAACGACTAGGTCAGTCCTGACGCAAACCACCTGTATCATCTCCTCCGGTTCATTGTTACAGTTGAACACTTTTGCTATTACTTCTTGTGAGTCTCATAGACCTATACTGTTTCATGACTTTGGTACTTTATTTGACCTTTATTTACCTTATCGAATTCAAACCTTCTCTGCCATAGTAGTCATTTCTACCACAATTGCCTCTAGCTCACCTTAACTATCTTGATAATCTGTGCGAATTGCTCATGTGGGGATCTTCTTGGAGCGGCCAGCATGGTCTAAATGGTTTAGATCATAATTTTTTTAGCCTTAGTTCTTTTGGCGTCGTAATCCAGGGCAAACAGCTAGTCCTTTGTTCCATATGTGCTGTTCACTTTGAATTTGACCACAGAACAATTTCACCTTTCATTCTCTATTCTCGGAAATATTTGGCTGATTAATGAGTAGCCTACAATGGAATTTCAGCGGTGTTGAGGTTAGGTCTTTAGCCATTGTACGATCTTTAAATTGAGGAGGCTTTTTAGTTAAGATCCTGGCTGTGGTGTTGATAACTAAGTGCCTGGCACATCTTTTACACAATTACATCTGGAAGAGATCTTACAGCAGGAACGAGAGGCGTTATCATTTTTTAGAAATGCAATGTAGGAATAGCTCAGTCATAGTTGAACTGTAGATCGTGTACATATGGCAGGGGACTATACTGAAAACGAACCACTTTCTCTTTTCTTGGAATGTTTCATTTTCAAACTTAAAGCAAAATCAGCACATTTGAAAGCAAGCGAAGCCGTCTTCACACAGAAAATCCTGTCTTCAAGGTCCTCTGCGAGATGAACCACTACGTCAACAGAATGCGGGCTTGGGACACTCTAACCATCACCTCCATCACGATCACCGTTCATCGTCACCATCGACTACCTTGAGACCATCAGCGGAGGTTGCAGCGTTGCTGGTACCTGGGCTAGACGATGACGAAGAGTTAATGCGAATGAAGATTGAAGGCGCGGAAGATGAGGAGGAGGAGGAGGGGGAGGAAGCTGTAGACATGGAGGAGAAGAGAGATGACTTAACATCGGTGGTTTTGGATCCCAACTATCTGCCAGGGGTGGACCTTGAGCCACGGCGCAAACCTGTCACCCTTTCCCCTTCCTTTCCTCGTCTTGTCTACGAGCTGGATGAGGAGGATATTCGTGTTGACATTGAGTCCATCACCAATGCGATCAAGGTGGGGCGACTATTTCCTGTTCATAATCTGTCTTTCCATACCGCTGATATATTGACTAATGGGAGGATAAGAGGTTTGTTAAATTAGTCAACAAACTTGCCTTACGGGTGGATGAATGCAAGCATGCATAGAGTGGAGAAAAGTTGATTAGATTGAGGCACTCTAGAAGAAGTTTTGGTTTTATTATAATGGCAATGCGCGTTACTATTCCGATCTTTTTGACTCGTTCACAATTGTTTTGGTTTCACTGCATCCATTTTCCGTCCTTCTAAAGGCGCAGATTTTAGGTTCTTTAAGGAAGAATTAACTCTCCATTTCTCCCAATAATCTCCAAAATTGTTTACTAAACACGCTTCAATATGACAATGTTATATTCATTTCTTTTGGAGGATGACGAAATTAGTCCCATCACGCCCCAAGGGTCTTGTCTCTGAGGTTAACATCTGACAAATTTTAGGTGTTTTTCAAAGCATGGTGCTGTAGTCCTCTCTTCCGCCCTCATTATTACTTGGACGGCGTTTTTGGCTGGGAAAAAACACCTTCAGTTTAACCTGATAAACGTAAATCTGGTATCAATTACCCTCACTTTGATTGATATCTTGTGGTTTTGCAGGAGCAGAAGATCAGCATGGCCATGTCTTATTTGAAATCAAAGGAACGTGAGTCGTAGGAATGAATCTTCTGCATACACCCCGCACCTCCACAACATCCTCTTTGTACATAAACTACCTTCCCTCTGTTTTTTTACAATAACCTTACCATTATGATATTTATCGATACATTAAACAGGCATCTACTTTTCTACATATACCTATCAACAATGAGTTTCGACTTTACGGGCAGCCGTGAACCTACTCTGTGGTTTGAGTTATGCTTGAAGGCGTCAATAAATGATGCGGGTATAGACGGATGAATATAAGCAAAGCGAAATGACATGGTTGGAGAATAGATTCCAATGCCTTTTATTACATTTGGATGGACCAACGTCGAATGTACTAGTACGGCTGAGTCGAATTGAAGTAACTCATCTCACCAGTGTGCTTTTCCAAGAATTTGAAGGCGTGAAAATCACTCAAATGCACCCGTGTTTAGTATTAGCTGGCATAAATGAGGAAACTGGTGCCTCTAGTTTTAGCGCCACGGCAAGTCGACGTAACAACCTCAGTGATGGAAAAGCAACAAGGTGCCTCGCTATCCATCGTGAATTGAATTTAGTAAATCCTAACAGAATATTCGCCTTCTAACTGCGCGTTCCGTGGATTCAACCTGCGCTGCCTACTTGCGGGAACATAAGTACACGCAAATCTGACGATTTCTTCACTACACGCTTTTTGTGCATGATAGCACCACTCCAGGCTGCTGCCCCTATCAATGTGGATGCGCTAACTTGCAGTAGATATTACCGTTTGAAGATAAGAGTAGGAGAGTTTCGACACTCATTGTCATACTCCCTCTCGATTTCCTACCACTGAGCCCTGACGCATTGGACACCCGACGTGTCTCCAAATTGTCTGCCTCCAACCTAGCCAGCAACTCACTGTTCGACACTTTAAGAAGACTCACTCGAGAAACCCTTTAATCAAAATGGATCTGATGATATGACAACAAGAAATAGGTCTACGAAAATCATAAGAGCCCTCTGTTACAAGGTTCTCTACCTTTACACTTTCGTAAAGCGGATAGCCCAGCTTAAGTCTGCCTAAAGAAGGAGGGCGGGTCGCAGATGGAATAATTATAACAGAACATAATAGTTTAAAAGAATCTTCTGTTACTCCCTTTGCGGTACAAACCAAAAATGCGTCTACCGCAAATCAAAATGCCGATGGCTAGGGGACAGTTCTACACTATCACTACCGTTTTACCCTGGCTTAGCAGTTTTCCCATAGGCAAAGAGCTGTAAAACTCAGCGCAACAGCTTTTTAAAACAAAATGCAGGAATCCAACATTGCCATCTGCCTAACAAGAACTCAAGTCCACATTCAGGCATACAGCCTACTCAAGAGGTGTAAAATCTATACAAGGGATAAGAAAACGTCAGTAGACAATAAAATCCTCTCGACCAACAAATCTGACTGCAAATTCAGCTCCACTGGCGGTGGGTTCTGCAAAAGCAACATTTGATCGTGGCAGGTGCGTGAGATAGACGAGGTGCTTAAGCAGACTATCAACTAAAATGGTCCCTACACCGCAGCGCCTGTGCTTGGACGCTACCCACAGCCTCCGAATACCGCATAGAGGGAAAGTGATTCTGTCGTTGTTTGTCTTGTTAAGTCCTCTCTCCACCGACCCGGTTGAAACAGAGAGGGGATTCTGAACGCGCCATGAGAGAAGAGAGCGAGGACCACCTACAAGGCGTCGAAGCTGGTAGCCTCGCTGAGCTACGGTGGTGGAAGTGAGTTCTTCGGCAACGCAGCACCCAACAGCGGTTTTTCTTCCGCCCTCAATATAGATAAAAATTCGCAGATAGGATGGAAGGCGAGGCATGATGTCAGCTGCACCAAAAGGACAGTCTTGACCAAGGTCGCGGTTCATAAAAGAAGCTACTTTGGTGTAGAGCTGAAGACCCATGCGGTCGGCTAGCGAGATCTCAATGACACGAGAGCCGTCAAAAAAGTCCTCGATGATATGCTGATTCTGCCAGCGAGAAACCTGAAACAGAAAATCACAGACGGAAAGAGGTCAATAAATTTAAGCCCAATACTCTAGAGGAGCAAGGGGATTACTAATGAACCCTTGATTACTTGGATGAGAGCCAAGTAAAATTCTGATCGCATAATTTTTAAGAGTTGCAAGTGATTTCATAAAATAAAAATGGTTAACAAGTGAACAGATTTGGGGCAGAATGAAGGCCACGGCGGACGTGCGGAATGGAAAGTTGATGCTGCATAACACTGTCAGATATGACAGTCATTCTAAAGCTTATGCAACAAGTATGTCTATCTTTAAAGCAGAAAAATACCTTTATATCCGGACTCAAGTAGCTTGCGTGAAATCGAGCATGGGCCTTAAGGTCCTCCATATCCCCAACAACATAAAGCATTGAGCATTCTTTACAGCGCTTCGCGCCGAAACCCTTCTGTCCAAAATCCAAAATCATTTGATTCCTTGATGAAGTCTTAGAACGACGTCCTGTTCTCTTCATCCTGTAAGTTAACCAAAATACGCGCCCTGACGTGAAGGGATGATTAACGCGAAGTATAATTGCGTGAAAGTCATTAAAATATTGGCCAAGTACAAGATAGCTTTGCAATGATGTGTGCATGTAGTACACGCTAATATGCATTATTTACCAATTATTTGATTATAATTATCCAAAGTATGCCATCGGTATTCAGTGACAATTAGGCTTTTAGTTAACCATATTTGTGTCAGGGTGCCAGCATTTAAAAATTTCTTATCACTTTATGCTTGGTATCATAGGTTGTAAAACGTGCTACTGTGTTCAAGTTGTCCACACAGAGAAGAAGCGGTCATTTAACACGACTCACACGTTGGAGGGACGTACGCATCCATTTCTGGGTTAACGCTGGGCACTTGTCTTAGCTAGACCTAACTTCTCTGTACTCTGTAGTACATACCTAACTAATTTGTATCAGAGCAATTTCATGGCCCTGAGAGTAGGGAGTCACCACAGAGGTCTTACTTTGGAAAAGTATAATAACTTAGATACTTGGATACGGTTTCTTGGGAAACGTGATTATATGGTTCGACAATAGCTCTTGGTGACTCTAAAGGCAGTCGAAACACTGATAGGGCATTATATTAGAGGTTTTTGGTGAATTGAAGCTTTATACGTTACAGCATGGTGCAGCCTTTAAAGGGTTCCGCATCTATACCAAAAGCGTAGTTATTGAGTTGCAAACATATGCGGAGTCGGCACATAACTGAGGAATAATTTGTAAATTAAGAGCTAGCCAATGCTGCAGAGGTAGTATATTCACTCAGGTGACTCGAACCAATATTTGCAGTCAAGAAGATAAAGCACTACATACCGCCAGCATTTTCACGAATAAGGCCACGAAATGTACATGGTAGCCCTCGTGACAACACCGGCGCAGAAACAGGTGTTATCTGTTCACTATATCAAAACAGTTGTAATGCTTTGCTTATGTGACCACCTGTCTAACCTTTGCACGTGTGAGCTGGCCTTCCTGCCATGCTCAGGCCTAGTCACTTCGTTCTCTTCGTAATACATGTATCCAGCCTCATTTACTACCTTCTTCCACTCGGTAGGAAGTCTCGGGATGCTACGGAGGAATGGCAATGTAGACCCTACCGTAACAAAACTAGCCCAATTCCTACATTTTACCTAGTGTACTACCCATTAACCAAATTAAAAATACTGTAGCATATCCATTGCTCCGATTGGCCTCGATTTCTTTTTCCTCCATGCGGCATAATTAAACACGTGGACGTATCTTAAATCCTTTGGTTAGTCGAATGCGCTGGCAATGTTAACTCCCACACAAGTTATGCAACCGCATTGTAGTTTTGAGACCTTTTTATAAAAAAAGAAAGAATTTTGTAGGGAGGTGTATGTATTTTCTCCAAGACGGGAAGAAAAATGCGTTTTTGACTTTCAAGTAGAGGAGGTTATTTGGCAACTCGAGTGGCCGTCGTCTACAACGACCATTTAAAGCATTACGCACATAATTTTAGGACATGTCTCATTTGGATGGTGCTCATACTTAATTTGATTGACCGCCATTATCGGTTAGAGAAATGTTTGGCCGCATTGCCTCAGTAGAGCAAGTGACATACTGTATTCCTGAACACAGCTATTGGTTTGGGTCATTTAAATGACTGTATTAGCGCTGACACCCCAGCAATACCAAAGACTCCAGCGTCCAATTCCGAGAATATTGTTACACCTTCCCTTGCGTACAAAGCCTTAAGACAATACTAGTTGCAGGATTCCATCACATTCTCATGTTGACAGAGATGACCCGAGCTGCTATGACTAGGCCAGAGTTGAATGAACAGTGGTCTGAGTTCAAAGTTCAGCACGTGTCATAATCAGTCCAATCTCACAAGTCTCACGAGATAAACATCAAACATGACCTACGCTAACCATCCTTTCTGCTCGTCCTAAATGACTCAAGTTAAAACGCCAGCCAACTTTCGTCTCCGAGACCCAAAAAAGGTGAACAGACAGTACCAGTTCTGAAAAATTCCTAAAGCAGTTTTGCCATAAGTAGTATAGGCAAGCACAGAAATCGGCTTGAAGCAATTGGATGTAATCAGAATTCCCAATACCAGTGAGTCAGAACGACACCGGAAACAGTCCCTATCCTCATTAAAAAAACAGGAGAAAGATCATTTCTTCCCGGCGTTGCAAAGTGCCGCATCCCAAACGGGTAACCAGAAAGCGGCAGGCAGATAGAATCCAATCAGACTATTGGAAACAAAGGCTTCACAATCCATTTTAGCCGTCCCATTCATACCATAGTTTTACCTACAATCAGCACCTCCTCATCCGTTTAGCGCATCAAGTTCGCATTCCAGCCTCGCACGTTACAAAACAAGTAACACCATTAAGTCGAGGAGATTTGTTAAATTTACCATCACTTTTAATCCACAAAAAAAGTCCCAATTTGAAAAAGAAAATATCGCACAAGAATACGTGAACGGGACTTGAAAATGAAACGAGTGCAAACACATCGCACGTCTTATTGCAATAACATGTGCATGTGTCAGGAAGTAGAGTAACAGTTTCACAGTAATAATGGTAACCCAGATATATAAAATACAAGTTATCATAAGACAACCATCAAAACAGGCAGTAACGACAATTTACAAGTATTTTACAGTTTTTTTTTGAATTTCCGTCGTCCGAGCCTCAGATGCTTCTTTCAACTTACTCCTCTCCAGCCTTTGCCTTCCCTTTACCCAGCACTCGGCTAATCTGTTTCAGCAAAAAAGGTTGAGGCTGGGAAAAAGGAAATAAATACATTTCAAAACCTTAGAAAGAAGCATTATAGGAAAATCAAACGCAGAAACTGGCCTCACTTCTTTGGATTTCCGCCCCGTGGCCTAAAAAAATTATAAAGTATACACGAAGCAGCTAGTTAGAATAACAGTGTGGGAAATGGGGAAGAATAACATACCCGTGCTGCAGTTCCAGATTTTTGTACCTGTGGCACAACATACTGTTCTGACCACATGGCGCGACGTACTGTCTCTGGCAGACTCTGCAAACTTGCGGATCGAACCGAGGATAGTGTGGAGGCTGAGCCGCGCATATAATCGACGTCAGAAACAACGTAGTCCGCCTCCAGTGGAGGGTACTCTAACGATACATCATCGCCCATATAGACACCTCCAGTGTCAGCATCGGCATCGCACTCACTGAAAACGTTGGAATCTCGGAGGCGAGAAGAAGAACCCTTGATAGTCTCCGTGGTGACGTTATGAAGATGTTTTTTCGAACGAAGGGTAGAGAGAGTACGAACCCAAGCGGCCATGCGACGCTTGGGTGGCTGTACGTGAGACCGGGAAGTAGATGGATGCAAGCGATTATTATAGGTTTCGTGATCGCGCAGGGTTGAACTTAGGCCGATCATAGACTTGAATATCGCACTGAAAAACAAAGATACATTAAAAAAAGCAACGTAATGATCTTTGTTGTCGAGACAACAAAGTTTCAACTCGAAAAGACAACTTTAGTGCGACCAAACAAACATTTACAGCAGTGTGGTAATAACAGGAGGTGAGAAAATGAAAATAATCGTCAGTTAGCCTCTGTGTATCTTCGGGAAGTGGAGGAGACGGAGACACAAAGGGACGATTTTGCAGACTTAAACTTAACAACGACGCAGAAAAATTAAAAGAAGAACATTTATCTCGTTTAACAAGGTAACATTCAGGTAAAGAGGATTCACCTCTTCTTGACGTCTGTTGCATCACCAGACGAGGTAATAAGGAACTTATGTGGTCCACCACTAGCAACAGGCTTCTTTCCCTTCAACATGCTGCGAGTTTTGAGGAAAAGAGCCGAGTGACCAGCTGATGGTTTGGTTCGGCCTCCCAGCCACCGTGATCGGGAGCGCACGAACACTCCACTCTGAATCGGATCAATGGGAGGCTGAGAGGGTGGTGCTTGCAAAGCTACGGTATTGATCAATTCGGTAACACTCCTTCCACTGACAGTTAGCCGCTGCTCAGCAGGCAGAAGATTGAGAAGGTGATTAATGAGTTTGCCCTGTTGCTCAGTAGTAGTAGTGAGCCGAATAACCTCGTTATTCGCTGCCATTCTCGCCGCTTCTGCTTCGTCCGCCTGTGCGGCCGCAGTCTCCTCCGCCTTCACAGCTCGCGCGATCGCCGCGTCGCGTTCTGCCAACAACTTCGTGTTAGAGTTACGAAGGCGCTCCAGCTGTTGTCTCACTTGAGTTAACTGGTTCAGAGACAGCACAGAGCATAAAATCACATTACTTCTTCAATAGTAGAAAGTAAAGATAACTAACCTCTTCAGATAGAAGACGTCTCTCATCATCTGCCTGATCGAGTTTCACTTTTAAGGCATGCGCTTCATCCACAGCTTTTCTATCAACCGAACTCTACAGATCGGACAAAGGATGAGTCACCAACCCTTTAAGAAAGAATACTTTTAGTAGAGAGGAAACAAACCAGTAGATCCTTGAGGTTGTTAAAGTCCAACAGACACTTGCGTGTCTCGCTCAACTCCTCGACCAATTTGGCCTTATCCAGGGTCAGAGCGTTCACCCTCGCCTCTAGTTTCAATACTTCTTGTCTGCATTTTTAAAAGTAGTGTGACGTCATGACGACAATGGATTGGTAAAGTTAAGATCAACAGATTTTGCCCTAAATGGTAGAATTCAAAAGATTAAAGAGGAACGAGACATATTCGAACTAAAAATCTATGGGATGGAAAGAAGAAACACTTTGTATTTGGCACAAAAATACTCCGCCTTAGATGGTAAAAAGATCCCATTTATTAGTTGAAAGACTTCCTGTCATGGATAGTTCACAAAGTCACGATACCGAATATTGAAGAGCTAAATTAACAAAATAGGCTACCCATCCTCTGACTGCTGTTTCATATTGCTTGTATCGACGCCATCCAGATCAGTCAAGATTTCGGTCTCAAAGACAGATGTCTGCAGTCGTCTCCGCAAGTTCTGCAAAAATAAGGTGTAAAAAGCAAAAGTTCGATGAAGAACACCTAAGAAACCAAATGCCCCTTACCTTGATCTCGTCTTCTTGAATAGTGATCTGCTTTTCCAAGAATCGATTGCGCCGCTTCACTTCCATAATCTTCGCCATGGCTTCCTCCCCAATATTCGAGGCTTCCAGAATGCTTAACCGACTCTGCACCATAGTCGAGCTGTCAATCCTACAAGCACAGGAAACTAACTCAAGCACCCTCAATGTACTACAAATAAAACGGGAATTTAAGTCAGGCCGAGGCTCCTGCTTCGACTACTGAAAGATAAAACAGTGCTACTGTGACACCGTTATTCAAGACAAAAACTGTGATATTCAAGCTTGTAGATTTGCAAACGCTAAGAAAACCTCAACGCCCCTAAGACAACAAAACAACGCCATGCACTTAAATCAAAAGTTAGCGACGGTCTCAGCGCTTCGTATTGACTTTTAGCACAAAAAAATAGCAAAAGATGAAAACCAGTAGACACATCATGATTCTCAAACTTTCAAAAATCGGTGTTAGGTGAAAAACAGAAAGTGAAGCCAGCTGACCCAATATCGTACGCCAATTCCACGTCCAAAGTGGCAGGGGATCAGTTCAAGAAGCGGTCTACTTTTAGAAACAAAAGTTCCCATATTAAGTGAATTATCGCCATGAATGCACCGAAGAAGGCAACTCACAGAGCGCGAAGCTGCCTCTGACGACATTGTGACTCGCCAATGAGCATGGTAGGTGTGAACGAGAAGCCGACAAAGGGCAGATCGGCGGCATAAGCCGGCCCCTGCCACGCAATATCTTCCACCTCTTGCACTTCTTCAACAAGAGGCGCTGCGGCGGCCTCAACAATGGCTCTGCGCTGAACCTCTTTTGCTGACTTTGAATCAAGATTCTCAAGATTGGAGAGTCTCTGCAGGAGATTGCCACGATATGGAGGTGGGCAAGGGCCGCGGGAGGGAGAAAGAGTTAAGGAGTTAGAAATATCATGGAGAGCGTCGTCACGAGCGCGAGCTTCGCCACCGGAAAAGTTACCAACGTCGTCAAGCTGACCTACTGGTGGAAGATAGGGCGGCGTATCTGTGGCCAAGGAAGGAAGCATACGTAATTGGTTAGGAGCATCAGTTAAGTGTTCGCTAGCTTTGGTAGATGGCGGTATTAAATAGGGGCTAATGCATTTAAAAACTATCAACTTCGAGTAATGGAATAAATCTAGAGGCAACAGAAAAATAAACTTGTAGAAATATAGCACTTTGATCGATTTCGCTCCCAACACTCGGCAGAATTGAGAAGTGAGAGTAACGACGCATGTTGTGTTTAGCCAGAACGATATTGCTGAACAAAACTCAAAGTCGAATTTGAAAAGAACCCTTGCTGTGGACCATACAGAGTAGCACACTTAAGAGAGTCGAAAAACCAAAAGTTCATCGAAAGAAGCGAAAAAGGGTGGGTTTCAGTAATCGAAGAGCATGAATGATAGTCAAAGCAAATCGTAAACAAAACTTAGGGAGGGAATGCAATGACCGCGAGGTACACCCAACAGAAAGAGTTCAACATGCGAACCCATCAAATTGAATTAAGGAAAGCCAATGAAACTGGATAGCAAATGGCAAGTAAAGGAATGACACTTTTTGAAAAGAACAAATACGACTCGAAAAGTGTCCGAAGGAGGTTAAATAATAACATGCTCTACACTCCACTTCGATGATCTCCATATGGAACATTTCATTGGCAGCTGCGCGCAAAATAACAAAGGAAGCAATTAATAATAGAAGAAACTTGCAGTTACGCTACCTTTGTTCTTTACCAAGTACTATAACATTTGACATCGCTCCCGTCACTAATAGAAAATAGGCAAGAATTCGAAGCTCAAGTATTCAACTGAAAACAATTGAACTAAAAGTAAGTGAGAAAAATAAGCAAACTATGAAAAGCTAAGCATAACCATAACCAACAAAATATAAGTACCGTAGTAAAAATAGGTATGGAAACTCACGTTCTCTAATAGTTGCGAAATCCACATCTTGGAAAAAAGGGTGCCGAACAATGCCTTCGTAAGTTAGCCGCTCGTTGGGATCACAGATAAGTTGGCGTATGAGGTCCTTAGCGGTGTCAGGCACGTTAGCATTACCGGGGAATTGCAGTGTGGTCTTGAAATTAACAATGTTATCCATCATCTTATCATCGTCCTCATCATAGAAAGGTGTCTGTGTGTAATACATTTCGTAGATAAAAACTCCAATCGCCCAATAGTCATAGGAGGGACCAACGCAAAGAGAATCCTTTGCACATAGCTTGCGTTGGGTCAAGAGTTCAATATTGAGGTACTCCTTCGTGCCCACCATTGTTGGACAAACACACTACAAAATATTAATCCAGCATGAGGAGTGAATAAAAGAGCGAAGTGTGTAAAGTAACCTGCCTTTCCATTGGAATCCAAACGAATAGCCGAGCCAAAGTCAATTAGCTTCAGATGACCGCTGCGTTCAATAGCAAAGTTCTCAGGCTTGATATCGCTACAAGAGAATAAAGTTAGCATCATCTAAAATCTATGGAACACACCAGTGAATGTAGCCCATCTGGTGCAATGAATGAATGGCCTCAACCACTTCAGCGGCGTAAAATTGAACCATTTCCGAGTCGAGTAGATGAGCAGCTCTAGAAGAACAGAATGAGTATGACAAAAACGGGCCAATATTCTGTCGCTGAAAAGGCAGAGAGCCCTCACTTGCTAAGGAAAATGTACATATCGCCACCGGGCTCGTAGTCCATGACCAAATGTAACTGCGTCTCATCTTGAAAGGCATAGTGAAGATGAGGCAGCCATGGGTTGTCAATCATCGTTGCTTGAGCCAAGACAGTACGCTCTAATAAAAGCTGAGCCCCCTCCTGGATAAAAAATAACGATAAAAGTACTTCCACCAAGTCAATAGGACTATTAAAAAAAGATTACCGGATCGTGAAAAAGCCAGGATCCTTTAAACTGCGATTTCATAGCAAGAACGGAGTGTGGGGGCGCTTTTTCGTGTACAACACGAACGACGCCACAAGCACCGCGGCCAATTATATCACCCAAGGTAAAATCATTTATTGAAACTCGAAGAACGATTAATTTACGCAGGATCGGATCAACTAAAGGATATCACAACACTCAACGTCCTGTAACAAAACAAGGGAGCAAAAGGATAGAAATTCACCTCTGCTGAGAAAAAAATCGAGGACATTAAGAGTAGCTGCCAATTTATCGCAGCGCTCTTTCGCCTGCAGTGCTTCGCATTCGTCATAGAGATGTTCAACAGTGTTCCTTGCAACGTACATGCAATCCAAGAGGCCATCAATAGAAAGAAGGCAGAGATCACCAAACGCAAGATCCTTCAGCTCATTGTTAGCATCATCCAAATCCGTATTCTTAAACTTGACATTTGATTCGAAAGGAAGTTCAATTCCGAAGCTGGGGGAACACAAAAGAGGTGGACGAGAAATTATGTTAAATAGGGCCCTAGTTCGTTGAGCCACAGAGAGATCAGGCTGAGATTCAACTTTCGCCTTTGGGGTTTCACTTCGTGCGAGACCGTCAGGGCAAGCGCTTTGGAGTTTTGGTTGGCTCTTGGCAGGAATATGTGCAGGTACTGGGGTAGAGGTTGATGCCCACAACGAATCATCAGCCATTCCTGTTAAAAAATAGGAAGAATCAGAAGAATTTGCATGAGTCGACAAATTCCATGCAAAGGGTGACTACCTTGAGAATAACAATACAGCAACACCAGACCCGGAACACCCAGGCGATTCAAATTTCTCCCACCGCCGCAGATGCAGCTAGAGGCAATCGATTTATTCAAACAAAACTAAAAAACTGTTTTAATTTTATTTTGACGTCATATATTTAAAAAAATTTATTTTTGTATGTGTGTAAAATGTTTAATTGCCCTAATTTTGCTTGTTTTTGGTGTTTCTAATGATTAGCTTCTAATTTACCAATAGCCTATTCATCGAATGATCTATCCTTTACAAAATTCTGATTTTGGTGCACAAGGGCAATAAGAATTCTAACTTAATCTTTAGATATTAAGTGATTGCAAACAAAGTACCATACCACCTCTCTCTTCATTTGAGGGACGTCCTCGCGCTCACCTTGGTACACCTCCTGCGCCAGACACCCCAGCATGTTTGGTAGCGTGCGAAAGCACTTACGAGACAGTCGCATTAGTTAGTAGTTTAGTTACTGCCTGTCTACCCTCTGGTCCCTGGTTCTCAGTCTTTAAGAGGAAGTTGGTTGTAGACGATTTATTAAGCATCGCTGTAAGAAGGATGGGAAATACGATACAGTTGCGGTGAGTAGGAGATATCAATCGCAGGGAGGCTCCTCGCCGACCTCGCGCACGTGATCCACGTTCCCAACTGGTCCCCGCCTCCCACCTATAAAAGTCCACTTAAACAAGCTAGAGTATATTACAAGTAGTGGGAATGAAACTAAGAAACCCTAGTTTGAAGCAAAAGTGACACAAAGAAAATGAGATCCGACACAATCTCGGGTACAACGAGACTCGTGGTGCCAAATTCGACACCTATATATGGATATAGTGTAAGGAATTCCGGTGCAAAATTTCCCACATGGTATATGGTGATTGTAATGCTTTGTTTATGTGACTAACTGAGGTTCGTTAGTCAATTTATGATTTGTCTAGACCTTGTAAACGCACGCTGGTATTTGGGCATGCTCAGATCCAATTGCTCTGTTCTCTTCGGAATGTGGGTATCCAGCCTCACTTACTACCTTTTTCCACCCGGTAGGAAATCCAGGAACGTTGCACTTTTAGCAGCGGAAAGCAAACTCAACATTTTTAGGCGACCTCTATCCTAGCTTGTACCGTTCGTTGCATGTGGAGGAGGCGCACTTACATCGCTGGTCGGACAATTTCAGGAGTCTTCACAACTAGAGAGTTGAGAATGACGTCTGCATTTGGCTTCACCTCATTCTCGTATTTTCTACAGACAAGCTATTAAAAAATGAAGCGCAACGCTGTGAGCCATATGAAAATATTTCGCGTCGTAATTTCCATTGCCAAATTATTGTACTGGTTGTAGAGTCTTGTGATGTTCCATTGAGTGGAAGAAGGCAGTGAGGGAAGCTAAAAACATGTATTCCAAAGAGGACAAATCAACTGAGCCCGAGCGCGGCCCGAAGGCAAGTGCACGACTACAAGGACCAGACAAACTCTAAAGTGACCTCCGAACGTCAGGTAGTCAGAAAAAATAAATCATTAAAATAGGTAACATGCTATGGTCGAATTCTATGAGCGAATCAACACTGATGTTTAGTTTACATTTGTGATATGTATTGCTGTTTATTTGGTAAGTGCAAAATAGAACCTAAATTAAATCGGAATACTTTGCCTGAATTTTTTTTGAATCCTGCTATGGATTTTCTTAGTCGTATCTCGTATACATCAGCTTTGAAAAGCGATGTGCACGATCATGAGAGAAGAGAGGAAGAAACTACACCTATACTACCGATCTCAGGCTTCGCGTTCCAGATTTTTACTATCATCGTAATGCGAGCTTGGGAAACATACTATGATCACGTTACAATATCGGAGGACAATTTTCCAAGGAAATGCATTAACCTCGCACTAAAAATAGAGATGAAATTTATACAAGCCAGAGAAATCCAGTTGACTTTGCGCTAAGTGTCTGTAAAATAAGTTACAGTGCTCCGTATATAAGGTCATGGTCACTACGGACGCTTTCAGTGGCGCACTTATGGTTGGCGAACATTTGATTTTTGTACAGCTCCGTGTAGTCCATGTGTTGATCGAAAATGACCATTTCGCAAATGGAACAGAACTTAAATTGTGTACGTCAACTATTTGATGAGGTATTTTGCGGATTGCCAAAGTGACATATAGTTTTTTGCTTACTACAATATGGACAAAACAAGGAATGTTTTGGCTGAAGAATGGCAAATGGTAATAAGTGGAAGCTCTGTTTATAAAGATGATTGGAGGGTATGTCACCATTTAGTTTTTAGTTTTAGATGTCCTTACTCAAAGCTTTTGACAAAGGACACTTCCAAGATTTCCGTGATTGTTGGAACGACCACTTTGGGGCAGAAACAGGGGAGGCAATGCGAGTTCGACCATTAGAGTTCTACTTACAGCTTTATTTTATTACTGTTAACTGGGATTCAGACTCGGAGGTAGATGTTACTATTTTTATTGCTGTCTCAGGACAAACGGAAGGAGCGCCTTCAGTATTTTCGAGAATTTCTAGACACAAAAGGCAAAGTACTGAGTCAGATATCCGAGTTCTTACCGTTCTTTGCATTTCCATACGTTGAAAATCCAAAATCGCACCCGGCGTACCGCGAATTATTCGAACCAGAATGGACTAGTGAACTAAAGCGCAAATTGACGTCTTTCCTTGAACCATCGAAGGACAATACGCGCCCACTGCCAAAGATACTCTCTTTAACGTCTCCGCCTCAAGAAGTTCCAAATAATCAGGAAAAACAACTGCAGGTTGTGATTATAGCAATGGTTCTAAACGCTCTCACTATTTTGAACTCGATTTTAAAGTTGTGCTGCTACGTTTTAAGAGATTTCTTGTGAACGCAGCCGATTTGAAGTTCATTTAGAATTGATTCATACGTTTTCTTGAGTGGTTAGTTGTTTGAAAACACGATTGTATTCATATGGACGCTGAAATATTTTGAAGGATAAAGAACATTATTGATAGTTAGCTCTTTTTTGTGAGTGTGAACCAAATGGTTGATTGAATCAACATAGAAGATCAATAGTTGTTCTACTTACAAGCTTAGAACGTAAGAGGAAATAAGTTTGGCAGAGTAGTCAACTAAAGTAGCAATATTCTTTGCTGAACTGACTATGATTGGTTCATAAATTTTGTTGGTTGGTCTTGAAGCCTTCGAATCTGATAGACTCGAGTTACGTCTAGGTTTATACGAGTCCTAAAGTGGTCTTGTCGCAACTATGTGGAAGAACTGAAGGGCTGATAGCCTTCAGAATACTGTTGTGTGGATCGAATTGCTGCCGAGCACGAAACTACAGTTAGTTGTGCATTTGCTATGCTATAGAACGGTCATTTGGATTTACTCACTTTGAAGCGTTCAGAAATATTTCACCCTCACCAGATTTCGGTTCCACTGTTTGGACTTCGATTACCTTAGAGATAAACTTGCTTTTGAGACAATGAATAGATTTGACGCATTATTTCGTGCTGAGTTGGATGGCTTTGTGCTTCATTATCAGCCAGGTGATGCAGAGCAGTGAATACTTAAACCACCAACTTTTAGTGTTTGAGTTGCGGGCGTAGTCGTTACTAGATGGACTTACTTTATATGCATTGTAGGCCTGTATAATGGATAAGAAGCTCGACTTCGCTGCTCCACAAGGCTACTGACATTGAAGAGATCTGCATCTGATTACCTACGATTTAAAGTAAACCTAAGCTCATGTACAATTTGAAAACTGGCTAGTCATAAGCGGTGCGTGCACTTCCAGATAATGGCTTAGGCAATGAAGAAGTGCTAAAGCGCCATATTTTAAGGCACCCAAAGGCACTTATTGGCAAGCAATCAAATTACAAATTAAGGTCATCCTCAAAGTCATTGGCGGGGCTAATACAATTTTTTTTGTAAACCTCCGATCCTTTCCATTTTTCTCAGAACCGTCTCGCAGACGCTGAGCGACGAGTGGCCCAGTCTCATCAGCGCTTCTCCAAGATCCAGAATGACTACCAGACCCTGTTGGGAATCGCCACGGATCTGGTGGACACACTAGAGGGAGCACTGCGAGGCGATCACATTGAGCCCACTGTGTTGCAGCAGATCTGTTCACGCCTCGTCGCCTCTCAACGTGCTCCTGATGGTGGCAGTGGTACCAGCAGGGGTGCATTCGGAGACACCCTCGCACAGACTTGCTCCAATCCCGCCATTTTTAGCTATGGTGACACGCTTCGGCAGTCGCTCTCTCTGCGACAGCCGCAGGAAAATGGGGGGTTAGTTGTGTGTGAGGCAGTTAAATATCAGTGAATCCTTTGCTGAGATTCTTTAATACAAATGGATTACTTCAACACTCCGATGAAGTAGTGAGTCTTGAATTACCAGTGCTTATTATGGCTGTTAAATCCTCTTTACTTTCGCTGCAGATGCCAGCAAGAATGGGGGAAAATGGAACTTGATTTCGACAAAATAAATGACGCCCTAAAGGGTCAAAATCAGACACAAATCTGGCGACTCTTGCAAGCTCTTCGATGGGTGGGTTTGTCTAACAAAAAAATGCCCTATGTCTGGTCTTTTATGTTTCCGAAAGCTGTTGGCTAAATTAGGCGATTCAACAGCAGCGTTTTAGACTATCACTACTTAGTTCCACTACCGTACTGTTATTTTCAGCGTCTGTCTTTTCGTTCAGTATCCTTTTTATGGTCTATAACACTCTATTCTTGCATTCCTACGTTAGTGCGAATTGGATATGGTTGAATGGCTGTTAGAGGTAGTCTCTCGTGCAAATACAGGCTCAAATGTCGAGGAGATCTCTTTTATTATGATTGAAAAGCAACTTTTTGTTTACTAATATACTTCACATTTTCAGCGTCTAACAAAAACAAATGTTGAGCTACGAGAGGTTTATCTGACCGAGTTCATTGGTCACGATCTCCTTGATCTAACCATTTGGAGTGATGACAGCCGTCGACAGCACCATTTAGGCGTGCTTGAGCACTGCCTCTGTGGTATCTCCCCTAAGATCACCGAAACAACCTCCCGACTAGTCAACGCACTGGCTTCCCTCTCTCGTGGCCGCGCCTACCTCGCTCAGAACGTTGCTGTTGTCACTGTCCTGAGTCAGAAGATTTTCCACCTTGAAGGTGGTCACGAATCCCCCACGAGGGAGAACCTTATTGGTGCTTTGCAGAAACTCAGTCTCAGGTGCGTCTCCACTGCTTAATGGACATCCAAGAAAGGCTTTTTAGTTTTCCAAGAGGTAAATGGGGTCCTCATTTCTATGACATTTCTAGTTAGAATAAAACGCAATCTGCTGAAGGGGGAGTTGCTTGTGGTAGAAAGTACCAAAAACGTTGAATAAATGCAAAATGTCTTGAGCATAGCAAAGAGCTGCAACATTTTCAATGATGTAACTGCTTCAAAGGTGTTGACCTGATGGCTTCCAGTTCTTAGTCTCAGCGGAAAATAATGTGAATATTCAGCCACTTCGTGGGGCGTCTGATTTTGACTGCTGTTGCAAAATAAAGCCATAGGAAAAGGTTATCTTAGACCCGATCACTCATGACGAAAATGCCTTCTAAGGTCTGGTCTGGCAATGGATGTTTAAGGGTGGATAGCAAATGCAATTTTTTTGCATTTAAAAGCAACATTCTCTCTTTTAAACAAGACAACTTGAACTTATGTTTCATGTGACGTAATTTCAACAATATTTTTTATACATGTTTACACCTCCAAAAAGTTACTGCATTTGTGTTCTTGAAAACGTCTTCGTTGCCTCGCTACTTCGGCTTTAACCGAGAAATCTCAAGACATCCAATCAACTCCGGGAAGAGATGGACTTTACACCGTAAATATGAAAATGATGGCGTCATTATTGTTTGGCGTTGCTAGGCGATGTCTAACAATACTACAGGAAACGGGCCGTTCGGCACAGCGTTCTGATGCGTTTTAGGGGACAGTAAGGGGGAGACTTCTCAATCGCCTAATTTACATTCGAAATATTGAAATGGACAAACAATGAAATCCAACGGAACAGTTGGTTGCCTTTTCACAGATTATCAACATCCTCTTGTCTGTCACAAAATTTCTTCCCTGATTTCGTTGTAGGCGGTTTCTATCTATTAAAAATGCACATCTTCAACTCACCGTTTTTCTTAAAGTCGAAATAATTTCTAAAACCATTACACCTTTTGGAAGTCGTACCACCTAGAGTAAATACAGCCACCGTAACTGATGGCATTAGGTTTGCAAACCATGAAGTCATTCAAATACCAAACAAACGATTTTGCAGGTTCTTTTAGGGGGAAAGGAATGTGATGCATGAGCGCAAAATTCTACAGGAGCGGAGAGTAACCGTCTCCCTTATTTTCAGGCGCTCTATGCAAACAAAGATGACTGACTTGGGCATGGTTGAGTGGCTGGTGAACCTCCTCGAAGATACGGATGGACTATCCGACTACACCCTCGAATATGCTGTTGCGCTTTTCATGAACCTATGCCTTCGAAGTGCAGGTATACTATCACAATTTTGAGGGCTGGATTAAGGAAGAGCCAACTATCTAAGTTACAAACGACGTATTTATTCTTGGAATCTGATCCAGTAAATTGATCGAATTTTAGTCAAAACGTAATTTAGCATTGTGCTGCATTGAAACAGTGGGTTCACAGGGATTCATTCCCGTGGAGCCTACGTTCGAGGTGGAGATGTTCTTCTAGTTCGAAAAAGGAAGGTGGTAGTCATGATCCTAGAGTTCAGGTGCACTTAATGTCAGTAAGATTTTTGAAGGACGACGAAGAAATTCTCCACCTTTTTGGTCAAAATTGTAGGTCATTGCCCCCTTGGTGAAACATCGGGTCTACTCTTTGTGCCGTTTTTTCAAAAATGAACTGTTTACTGAAATTTAATCAGTAAAGTGAACTGGCTCAAACGGAATTAAGTTGTGCCCCAATTTATAGTACTTAAGATGACAGAATTGAAGCTACATTTCCAAAAGACACTTAACTGAGTGAAGGAAATATGTTCGATCAAACCAATAGCGGAACCTGTTCATCCACGAAAGTGTCGTAGGGCCTAGCGACTTCTTCCTGGACAATAGGGATTTAGTGCTCAAGTAAAACATCCGCTGTTGACAGACGCAATAACTGGCAACTACTGATGTGATTCCGAATTCATGCTACTTAGCGGAGACACGAAAGCTGGATCCTAAGGATCCTTAAAACTAAGCCAGGCCGCCAGCCGCTAAAATGAATTGGACTCAGCTCAATTGCTTTTCCATTTGTTTAATTTATTTTGGCGCCTAAATCTCCATTATGATTGGTGACAACGAAGTACTTCCTCGAGTAACTCGTCACCAGAATCCTTTAAATCACATGTTTGAATGATTTATGGGTGGTCAATTCGCTGTCACGAATCTGACCTTCTTTAAGTGCCTTCATCTAACCTCTGAAATTCTTTATGACAGTTATGCTTGATTCGTGGAACAGTAGCATCTATTTGCATCATAATTGAAAAGCTGCTGCACGATGCGTCACTATGTATTAGAAGAGGCCGATTCGAGCTGGACTTTGAAATGTCCAGGAATTTATTGGATTAGGTCTTTGAAGAACGTGATTGATTGAGAGTAATCTTGATTAGTTCGGACAAACTTCATTTCAAATTTTTCGGAAAATGACAAAAGTTAAAATCCCTTTTATCTAGCCCACCACAAAATGCAAATTCTGTTTCAGGTAAGGCGCGATGCGTCCCAATGGCCGACCGAGTTCTCAAAGTTTTAACTGATCTGATTAGTCACGAGAACACCAACATTCTCTCCTACGTAAACGGCGCCCTCTTTTCTCTTTTAACTCGACCTGAAATACAGGCTGCTGCCGAAGCTATGGTAGGCCTTCCTGTCACAATTCCCCTAACGCCTTCTTTTGAAGCAGCCCCAACCATGTCAGTGATTTGTACAGTCATAGAATATTTGCCATCGTTAGACCAAACTGCTGCATCTCATTGACCAAAGCTTGGTGATGACAAATGATATTCCCTTGGAACTCTTCAACAGTTAAGGTAATCTAAATTCTTCAAAATCTGTGTAACAGTTAGGATGTAAGGACGCAAACTAGGCTGTTGTAGTGCCGTAATGATGCGTCTGGCTCCGCCAAAGTACTGCTGCGGTCGAATTCCATTCCAAACAATTTATTGTGTATAACCGTCACAAATAATAGTAAAGTAGGAAAGAAGGAACACGGGAGTAGGACACAACCTACCAGCGGATGAGAGGATCATTTGCACGTTGATCACCGAAGACAACACTCACCTCAACCAGTTTTAACTATAAAACTGTATTGTAACTTTGTTTGCAGGATTTGGAGGGCATTTTGGCCTGTTTCATGCGAGAGGATCAACAAGAGTTGAATCGCCAGTTTGAGTACATCATAAAACAGATGCACACAAGTGCATGTAAGACCAACATTCTCGTCATCTCCGTAACTTGTTAAAAAAAAACTTGATAAAAGACGCAGCTCTTTTATTCTCAGGCGAATACGATGAGGACGGTGCCTCCGATAATGACGACAATGATGATGATGATGACGATGAGGTCGGTTTCGTAACATTCTGTTAGTAGTATTGAACATTTCATAAATTCAAGACAGGTAAACTAACAAAACTGATCATTCGTAGAGATCTCATTCTCAGCCTTTTCCTCCTAAGAATGTTGAAAAGCAGTTTTTAGCATTCCGCAAACCTAATACTCATTTACTGCGATCCTGGAAATGGTTCAAGGACGGGGCACCCCATTAATTATGTTGTTGTTTCTTTCTTCCACTAGGAGGATGAGGCCCAAATGGAAAGTGACATAGATCGCGGTGATGACATCACGGACAACAAAGAGAACTCCTTAGAGGGATGTATTATGGGTGAGAATCTGCTTAAGGAGCGATTCTTAAAAAAACCAGCGACAGGAGGAGCGAGAGGCAAAAGGGGAGGGAGGTCTGGTGGCACCTCGCCACTGTCAATGCCTCCACCATCCTCGTCGCAACCGCTTCAACCATACGGTGGTCACGTGCATCACAACGAGAATGATGCGGTGCTAAGCAACAGCATCGGTCTCCTCCGCCGACCGTCCACACCGAGTAGAAAGCGATTTGCTATTTCGCAGATACCTAAGCCTGCCGTTACAAACAGGCAACAGAATGCTCGGTCAGTTGATCGCTTAGGTTATGTGTGCTAGCTCTTTGGACAGTGTCGGAAACGATCTTTGCAAAGGAGGCTGACAGCCACAGTAAACAGTTTTTTCATAAGTGTAGCATCGAGAATGCTCCATAACGTTATTTACGGAGTGTACGAATTTCGTTTCCCAAGAGACATTTAAGTCGTTAAATAGGTAGCATTCTTCCCCCATTGTGGCGTATTATTAGCATCTATGGTCATAACGCAGCAGCCAGATCGGATTCTTTTGATTACAGATTATCATCTAAGGTACAGACCAGATCATCACAAGCCATAGGAGAGACGCCGATAAGAGGCCAAATTGCAACTCAAAACACAGGTAAGGAGCCACAATTACTCTTGCCCCACTCATTTATTTGTTGGATCCCATTTCTCATGATCACAAAAAAAATGCTGCTGAGGCGATCAATGCGCCTTGGGTACTAAGAGGTACAGAAGCAATACGTACCCGCTCTGTTCGTCTGAACAGAACCACAACAATCAAGAAATCGTAGAGACTCCACGTCAACGATCGAGTCAAAAAAGAAGACAATTGAGAACCACCCAGAGTACCAGAAGGCCTTCAATAGTCGACCAAAGCTGCTTCGCACACCGGAGCACAAACGCGTGACTTCTTCGTTAGACCCCATCGATGTTCGTGGAGGAGAGAGAGCCTCAAGATCACGACCTGCGTCAGGTAAGTCGGTTTTCATTATAAATGCACCCACTTTCTTTGAAGGTCGAACAACCATGGAGTGTAACAATCGGTGACCTCATCGTGTTCGTCAGCCATAAAGAGTAGTTTTTGTCATTCCATTGTATCATTGTACAGAGCAGGCAAACGATGCTTGTTTGTGCATATCGCAATTGTTACCACGCCTCATTTCTGTTAGCATTTCATACACTTGTTTTGAAAGTCATCAACCAAAAAGTAGAGATTTATTTACTCACTGGGTCTTGTGATCTTGGTAGCGGTATCGCAGTGATGCACTCTATTGGAATAACTCAACTAAATAGCCCCAATTCGATGTTTGGAAATAAGCCACAGAGGTGTAGATAAGAAGACGACAGCTTGAAAGGATGAGGCTTCGGTGGACAGTTAGGAAAATGTCAGCGTACCGAAGAGCTTCGAGTAAAACCGAAGCCTGACTTCTGAATGCCATTTCTTCCAAAACCTTTGACACAATACGTGAGGATAGGAAGGCTGTGTTTGACAGTTGTCGTTATCACATGGGAGATGGAATTGACATTGACAGCCGTCGCCACTGGCTCTAGAAAACCTAGGCAATTGAACACATTAAGGCCTTATTTAAAAGATCGTAAAACTACATTCCGGTACTTCATCCCAGTTGGTTGGCCTGTCAAGGTCACGCATACGCAAATTTCACATCACTCGCAGGACCAATCAATGTTCAGCCCAACTGATGACAAATATGGAAGTAGTGAAAAGACCCATACTGCGCCGTGGACTGTCACGGCCGGCCGACAGACGGTAGGGCAAAGCAACGTAAACGCTATACCATAATGCACGAGTCTGGAAGGCGTCTGACGTCGCATAAAACCACGTAAAGCCAACTTTTCGTGGGAGTAGTGCACACAAAAATTTCGTAAAACAGTGAACTGAAATGGGCAACATTGGAACGGTTGACCAGAGTTTCTGCAAAATCATTCACTACGTTTCCTCAACTTTGTAATAGGGAAATCAATTTGATAGGACCACAGTTGCACAATCGCCAGTCACCAGGACTCCAATTTGAGGTGAGCATTCCAAAACAAGGGAAAACTACAAATCGCTGAGCATAAGCGCTTTAAATACAAAAATTAAGTCTTGTTTGGGACATGTTCCAGAACTACCTCAAGCACCACTTTATGTACCTCAAGAATGTCCAGGTTTCCCACATTGACCCATCTCCAGGGCGGTGCCACTTCTCCTCTTCGACGCTTCTCCTCAAACTCTTTCGCCAATCGCCGGTAGTTGGCAAGTACACGAGTCTGAAAGGGGGCATTTTCAAAGCGTTCTTTTCCGTAGGCACCCCTATCCGCTAAATCGTCCACGCTGGAGTGGGTGAGACAGACCACAAGATCGGGCTGGGGTAGGTCCTCCTCGCTACGTAGACACCATTCCCAAGTAGGGGGGTGAGGATGCTCCTTTGAGGCGGTGTAGACGATGCCTGAGTAGCTGTAGCGATCCAGCACAACACAGCGACCCTCCGCCAGAGCTGTTTGGATGTCTGACGCTCTCTCCCATCTGGTTTCAAAAGACGTTAGAGGCATTGAAGAGGTAATGGGAATAAGCACATTTTACAAACCTTCCATACCCCACATTAGCGCAAGGGAGGAAAACATAGACATCATACACCACTGAAATGGGAAAAATGTGTGGAGATGACAAAACCGAGGCTTGGGGATTAGCGTTTCCAACCAGATTGATGTGAAATGTAAAACGTTAAGTACTACTAAACAAGGCAGTTATATGAACGGCGCTACTGATGGAGTCGTAATCACAAAGACAGGCAGTGTGTGGGATGCAAAATGAAGCAAAACAATGCACCACAAAACTAGCTTAAGTGTCAAAATGTCGATGAAATAACCTACCATATAGACAACGATGAAAACTGACCAATTCGTACAGAAGGAGGTAGTCTGCTAACAATTGTTTCGCTTTAAACGATCAACCTCAGCATCAAGTAAAGTAAATGAAGGCAAGTACGTTGCTCGGTTGATTTTTATGTTAAAATTGTAAGAGGGATGTGTATTATATGCTCTACAAAATATTGGTAACAAATACGACACCAATACCAACTGCTTGATCCGTGCCAAACCACACCTCCTAAGCAATCTAGCATCAGATTACCTAGGAGAGAATGTAAATGAAATTACTCTTAGTCATCAGTTTCAGTCAGTGTGTTCCAAGATCAAAATACCATTCAAGAGATTGAAAATGGTAAACTAGTAACCCACAGCTGTGAAACGCGCACTTCGCAACAGCAGTGAGACAAACAGTAAAATGATTTCTTTCTTACAACGACAACCACATACTCTATAAATCTAAAGTTGACGACAGTGGACAGACATACTACAACTTTTCATCCACGGCAGCAGTTTTCACAAGCAACTGAAATGACATGAAAACAACGAGAGAACAGATAATATCGATACAATGGGAGTCTCTAAACGTCACAATGGCGAACACCAAGAACAGTAATGAACTAGCCAATGAAACCTTAGACAATGTATAGATATAAAGCTAAAACGCTATAAGACTTGCTTGTTATTCAAGATCACATTTTTAGTGAGACACATGAATACAACAAAACAGTGAAAAACACAAAACGAGTATACTTTACAGAAACAAAATTCCATGTGCTTTGATTATATACAACAATACTGTGAATCAAAGACGCATCACAGCATAAGAATTATGGCAAGCTAAGAGCCAAATTTATACACTGCAATTGCTACATTCTATTTAGTACGTGTGTAGCCGTTCGGATTCTCTAGCCTGTCCAGATCCTACAAGTCTCAATACCTATAGCCTCGGCTCTACTGTCAGCGAAACAGTTTTGGAAGGCAAAACCCATAGAACGCCTTCAGGAACGCCTCAGATCACTGAAACGTTACCTGTTAGCAGTAAAGAGGAGGTGAACGGCATGCGGACTGATGTCGACTTTACCGGAGAGGTAGTCATTTAACCACTGTCCAATTGTTGTGGAGCGGTCGGGGAAGCCGAGAAGGTAGGTCTCCATACCATAGATACTGCTGAGAGCGTCTGCTAACATCTTTGCCTGTGTCGACTTACCCGCCCGATCAAGGCCCTCCAGAACGACAAATAAGCCTTTGTGTGATTTCATCTAAGGAACAGAAAGACGGAATTTAGCTGAACACTACGACTCTGACATTTGAAGTGATCATATGCAGAGAACAACTACCTCCGTTCGTTTAGATCGATAGGGCTAGTTAAAGAACCGTATCACAAAAACCAAATGTAGTCAAAACTTCAAAGACAATTCCAAAGATTCAGTGATTTTTCGGAACTACATTGGTCATTATGATCGGAATGTGCAAGAAGTGCACTGCGAGAAACCTTCCGAGGCCAAGCATCAAAGTATAAAATACAAATAAATACAGGTACCGTAATAGCTGGTTGGATAAAATCCACTTGTGAGTAAATGGAGAACACCAACCAGCACAAAGAAAATCGACTGGTTGAGATCAACCAAAACACAGAAAGCTGCTTACTGAGCGGAGCCAGGACCCGAAATGTGCCACCGCAAGACTTGCACATCCAGCACACGTAGAGCAAGGCGGTAGATAAGTGGTCGGTTGGTACAAGCCAATCACATTCACAAACATTACAGACAGCTTGTACACTTGGGAAAAATTCCGTAAATTTTCCGTCGTTTTTGAATAACCTTCATTTACTTTGCTAAGAAAAAATTTGAAAGAACAAGTACAAACAGGTGTAGCAAAATACTCTAAAATAATGGCGATATAGGAAAATGAGCATCTTAACTGTGTGAACTTCTTTCTGACACATCTCATTGCCACATAAAGATTATCCTACTATTCAAAAACGCGTCTACATCTTCTAGAGACTCCCTACTATGTCGAAGGAGACATTAAGTGGTGTCAAGGAAACATATTTAAGAAAAGGGAGAGATTAAACTTTGGCTTAGCTTCAAAGAAATGCACATGAATGTGTTTAAGTTGCCATTACTGGCGAGAGGCGGACGGTCACTTCGAATGTAGTGCAAGTCTAGTGTGAGAATTCTTCCGAGGACTAGCTCCTTTAGCTTAGTTGTGCCCAGATCCCTACAGACTGCACCTAAATAACTATACCTAATAAATCTTCCTCCAAGCGTCTTTCTTCTCGGACGTCTGCGATTAAGGACGATGCAAGTGAAGATGAATGTACTACACTAGTCATGTAGATGATCACCTAAACAAAATGTTTCGACACTATTGTGCTATTCTTAAATGTTTTGCTTCCTTACTCGAGTTCAAGGCCAACGAGTCACAATCAGAGTTCTGGTTTGCCAATTTTCGCCTTAGAGGTAATACTTCGTTTATTTTACGCCTGATGTCAGGTGGATGTCTTGATATTCGCCTGGCTCTGGTGCTCGTGACCTGACCGGGCTGTGTCAAGGTTCCACTTCCTCTTTTATCACCTAGACTGCACGTATTCAGCCCGACTACATCGAATGATTTCCTGCAGTAATGCTAAAGTCGAGACTTTAAATTCCATGTTTGTAAGTTGTTTGCAAGCTGCAATAAGTCTGAGGAAAATTGTTCAGATGTAAGCAGACAGCTATAAAAGTTGAGCACTTTAGTTTTATGGCAAGGAATAGTCTCTTGTCCTTTTTTCTAATAATCTAATGCTGCATCAGTCGGTGTAGCTGTTGCACTTTTTATATGTAACCACATGCGTGACTGGCGGCCCTGCCCCTGTACTCGTGGACTGGTCTTTGGGTTAAGGCGAAGCCCAATTCTTCTTTATTCTCCTGCAATGCATGTAATCGGCCCAACATAATGCCTTCTTCTACCTAGTGAAGAATCGCAAGGTACCGCAATTGTAACCAAGGCTTTCTTCTTATAATTTCTGCTGTTGGAAAGGTTTAAATGCGAATTGCCATGCTGTATTTTGCTTAGAAGGCAGTTTGTTTGCAAAAGTCTTATTCGGCATTTGAACGAATTGAGTGGTAATACAAGATCGAAGAGGAGGATCGGGTCTAAAGTGAGAATTAAGTGGCGTCAGTCGATCCTCTCAGTACGACTTTCACTTTCGTACTCTGCACTTGACCCACAAGGTTCACTTAAACAACAATTGTTATACATCATATTAATAGTATGTAGCGTTTCGATTCTTCAATAGACTACATATGTGAGACCACTTCGTCACACTCTTTCACCTCTCATTTAGTAGGCTTCATACAAGTCGAAAAGTGAAAGGAAATAAATCAGCTCCTATTTACAGGTCAACTTAAGTAGCTCATGCAATGCAATATGCACCTTCGGCTATCATAATGGAGCGAAATCGGATTTATTTTAATCCACAATGACATCTTTTTCCCCTAGACATGCTTAATCAACACACCTACAGAATATTGCTATTTTTCCTGCTGGGTTCAGTCAGCGGCAATGTTTGGACCCACTTAGCTTAAAAGGCCCTTAGACAGGATTTATAGCAGAGAATTTCAACAAGATTTTCTTAAGGTTCACCGATGGACTGCTGTTAGATGAAGATTTGGAAACCTGCCTTCCTCCACTTGCAAATGTAGATTTGGTCAAGGTTGAGAGAAGACATCGTATGCAAGGGTTGGCCCAACACGTCCGGTGCAGGCAAAATGGCCACTAAGCCCTTCGTGACTTCAACCTGGAGTCAAATTCAAAACAAACACAAAAAGTCGACCCCTGAATTTCATTAAAATGATGCAGAAAATCTTGTGCCATCTTATGAAATAGCGAGTTGTTGTACTCTTGCTTACCGATGCATTTTTCAAAAATTACTCAGTTTCACATTAACGGCTGCTTTGCTAACTTAAGAAATGGATTTTAAGACCAAGCCTCCTAAGTGCTATGCATTTGAATCTACTTTTTGTCAACCACCGGATCCATTCCATTTATGGGTTCCTTCCTTCCTTTTTACCGTTCTCAAACCAATAAAAATTACCAACAGTTGAGGAGGTTTATTTTGTGTCAATCACAATTGCCTCAACAAAATTTTACTGTTAAAATAATGCAACAATTTGAAGACTCGTGTTCACTTAGTGTTCTCCTGTTGGCATGGCGTGGTGACGGTTGTCAAGTTAGAAGGCCGCACTTTCTCCCTCAGCGTCACCAGCGTATGACGCCTCGAGCTGTTCAATCTTGGCCCATATTTTAGCATCCGATTTGCAATTTTGTTGCCAACTTATAAATTAAACCACAACAGATGCAATCAGGTCATAAATAGCAAATATTGTCACGTATGTTCTGTATTTGTACATCGTTCTTTTTGCCAATTGCCAACTGCCCATTTGGTTTGGCGGTCACACGCACGTCATTTGCAGTCATCGACATTTTACCGACAAATTGTTGCATTAAATCCACGCGAGCTAAGTACGCTTACAACTATTAAGTAACAGCAAGAGCGAGTCTTTTATGGCTGTGGTGGCTGTCTTTTCTTTGGCGATGCAAACGAACACGGTTCAAATTAAACGCAGTGGAGAAATTTGATAGCCCTCTCCAGTGGACCGCATGGAAGTGTGAAGAATACAGAATTTCCATTCTTTTAATTTTAATACTATTTGAAGGCTAAAAATTATTCTTGATGCTATCAAGTGTGTAATGTAAGGAGAGATTTTCGCCTTCACCCTTCTGGTCTCTGTTACAAAAATGGAAGGGGGTGGGTGACATGAGCACTCAATCAACCCAAATCAGGCAAAGTGAAGCGGTTTATTAAGTCGCGCTAAAAGCACTGCGGTACTGCTACGAATTGGAGGCTGTGGATTGCCTGCTCGCTATTTCAAATAAACTAAGTTGAACGAACAGGTAAAAAATACGCCGAAATTACTAATTTCTCATACTTACACGCGTAAGTTTTCCGTTTCAGCCCTGCTATGGATCGGATTCTTACAAAATTACCGAAGTAAGATGTTTTGCAATGATACCCACCCGTCGGCGAAATCTGTCCCACTTTAAAGCCACAAGAAGGAAGTCAACAGCAGTGAATGTGGGTGCAACAGTTACCGTCGCATAAGGTATGGGAAACCCTTCAAGCCGGCTTATCGTAAGCAGAGGTGGCAGAGGTCAAGGGCAGTGCATGCATTCAGCACGCACTACGTGGTGCCATAGATTCTGTGGAAGAATTTACAGCACGAGACGATATGGCAATGAGACGTTCGGCCGCATGTGTACTACTGATTGTTGTTGGCACTTAACCAGGAGGCGATTGCATTCACCCGTGCTGACAAAGCGATGTGAACGATGAATCTGTGCATGGAAGTAGCGCATAAAGCTGAATTTGAGGTCAAGTTTGGCAGATGTGTAGTCCGTCAGGCACCATGATGGTGAAGATAAAATGAAAATTCTCTGTGGTTCGCCAATAATGTGACTGCTAAGCTGTGCCGGCGGCTTTGAAGTGGTGCATCAAAAATTTTCAATTTGTTTTAAGCAGTCACGTAGAATGGCAACAATATGAAGCCAAACTAGTAGAGGGACTTCAATAGTTCCTTAATAGCAATCTGTGAGTAAATAACAGCGGTCCATTGAAAATTTCTCCCTTTTAGTTCTGATCAATACAACAGGTATTTCTATTTAAGCTTTTCTTGTGGTGGTGAGAGAAAAAGATGATAGCCTTAAAAGACACGCTAACTAATCATATACAGCTTTGCTATTCTTCTGCCATTTTAGCCGATTAAAATATTGCCTTCCTAATTGCCAGTGATGTCTCATGTCGTTCTATTTTTCTGTAAATTGTTCCTTCATTGCTCACATCCAACTGACAGACACGTGAAATATGCAGAAATTTATGAAATCGCCTGCAACTCCAGCAGTTGCAACAATAATGTTGATCGCCTTCCTGATTTTAGGTCTTGTGAGCATTGTGGTCATTGAGAAGGAATGTGGGACCTCTTTTGCGTCGCAAGAAGGTCTGCTGATGGTGCCTACACTCGTAATTCCCTACATATTGCTCGTTTTTGATAGGTCATCGTGGGACTGAAATCAAGGGTCAAAGTATCAGATGCCAATGACTCCTTATGATAAATTCCACATCGAACCTCAGTTTAGTGAACAATGGCTCCACGTATACGTGTGTAGCAAGCCGAGTGAGCAGATCAGAAGCGATAAAGTAGTCTAAGAATGGCTATTCTTTATAGCTAGTGCGATAAAAAGTGTAACATGTTGACAACTATTCTTCCGTTCACTTGACTAACTCTGCCCATTTTTGGTCAACCAAGGTCAAGGTGGTTGCATTTTCATATTTTCTGTCCCCAAATGCAGGCTCACCTCGTGACCGCAAGGACGAACTCCTTAGAAGAAACGTCGTCGTGATAGTCCTGATTTTATGAGTGGCACTACCTATTGGCCACTTAGACATTTACAGGCTAGCATTTGGCATATTTTTCAAAGCCAGTTTGTGTAGAAAATGTTTCCATCTTAACTGAGGAATGATTTGTGTTAAACACGTTAAAATTAAAAATATAAGATATCCTGAGGATTGAATTGCGTTGGAGAAAGAATGTGATTTTCCATTTATTGTCCAGTTCATGCAAAGTGAATTGGCCCAAGTAAAATCCCAAACAAATCATGTCATTCACATTAAAAGCCTTAACGAGGTGCGACACAATCCCTTTCGCTCATGTCCCCGCCCTATGGGTTTGATGACGTCCTAAAGATCGAAGTGCTTCCCTTTTAAATCCCTTTTTTAAAATCTATATTGTAATTTACTAAAATGAATTTGAAGATGTAAAGGGAAGGGGTGGGGAAGGTCGTTAAAGTATTTATCTGACTTTCAGAGGCTCCTACTTTTCCAGAGCTGTCATCTCCAAATTGATAATAACGACATCCATCCACCCCTGCACACCCTTCCTCCGACTCATGAGGCCTCAGTAGATCCGAGTGCATATCATTTGTTGCAAAGATCGGGAGCGACTATGAAATGCCAGATTTGAGACCAAAAAAGTGGTTATTTGACGAAAGCAAAGTTGAGCGCACAACAATATTGTTCCTGTGTCTGAGGTCCGGATAAAATAGCTTTAAATACGGTAAAAATTATGTAGTTGGGTGGATTAGAGGGCACTTGTAGTAAGGCGGGGGTATTAAAGTAAATTAAAGCCACAAGAAAGGCTTGCCACAGCACATTAATAAGCAGCGTTGAAAGCGCGTATTAAAACATTGTTTTGTTACTTTTTCACATCCTGTCTATGGCGATAGTCTCTATAACTGAAAATGAGAAAGGAAAAGAGGCTCATTAATTGGAATAAGTGACACTAATCTGCTCAACTTATTTTCCTCGGACAGGCATTCCGTGGCTTGGCTGACCTCGAATGACATCGGGTTAATGTCAAGCTTTTGGGTGTGCTATTTCTTACCCCATTGCCTCTAGACCACTACTAGGCTTTCGGTTGATAATTGCGACTCGAAAGTGCCTCAGACGGAGGGGTCACCGTAATTGACAAAATTGCTTGCTACTTTTATTTTGTGATCGAATACGGAGGGTCTCAACTAATTCCAAGCGTGTGTCTTGAACTGCACTAACAGATGCTTCTTAAAAGAAATTGCAGATTTTTCGATTAGTTTTGAGAAATCAAGACTTCAACGAAGGTGGTTTTGGATGATAAGATATTGTACAATCATGCGTTGTTGTGCCATCAACTGTAGCTAGATGAGGGAAGCAAAACAGCCATCACGGACGCAATCCTCTTAAAGGCTACTTACACTTTAAAGGGATCCGCAATCCTTACGTCATATGCAAAAAGGAAATTCATATCTGCTTATGAAACACACACACGGTAACCTTGCAGGAATCCACCAGCGGCTGCATTAAAGTTGATAATCAACTGTTTAGGTGAAAACTAGGCTTTGTATGACGAAAAACGCAAAAAAACCTCCGAACAAGGAGGAGCATTGACGTGTGGACAGAAGTGTCATGCTACCTCTCCACGTCTCTGTGCAAACCAAGTCGCCGCGGTGAGGGAGGAAGTGAAGCTGACATGCTCGACACGTACCAGCTCAATCAACAAGGTGTTAAATGCCCCTTTTGCACTAGCTACAAATCACAGGGGCAACATGGAGGACAATAGTGTGGACTTTACGTCTAAATGCATGTATTTTGAAGTTCATTGAATCGGGACTGGGTTTTAACAACTATTTGTGGTCAAAGGAACTCACTTTTGATGTAAGTGGATTGTGATGGGTCCTCTTTGAAGGTCTCCTTCTCTTCTAGCAAGGGATTGTGTCTGCACAAAATAATGCACAAAAAGCGTAAAATTACGTCCTACGATGCTGTTTCCTTGGGGCAGAAATAATTAAAAAGATCTCGCATTTAAGGGCCTTTATCAGATAAATAAGAAGGTTTAGTTATACTTTCCTTGATGTCTAAAGACCAAATTCGTTATTAAGCAGCTTTAAGGAAAATAAACTATCCGAATGCATATTGTGGATTTAAAATGTCGTTGAAAATTTGCACTATATTTACCATTGTCAAATACACGAAAAAAGTTTTCTTATTGTTGAAGGTCTCAAAAACCAAAATTAGAATATAAATGCCCTTAATATTTCTCACAAAAGTGTAAATTTGGAGAAGTTGTCAACTAAGACAAGGGAGTAAAATAAAAAT